TTTTGCCAGCGATAGGCAAGTTTTCGGTGCAAACGCCTGTGACCTGCTGATGTGGGGGAGGCGAGGGGATCTCCAGGCACTTCATCCCCTCGGCAGCATCCTTCCTGAGCCCGCTGGTTCCTGTGGCTGCGTGGAGCAGACCAGCAGCTCTGCAGCATCACTGACGCTGGGCACTGGCACCAGGGTGTTGTACAGATGGCAGAGTACCTCTTCTTTAATTCACTCTCATGCGTAAATCAGATTTATCGGGGGTGAAGAAAATGTCATGGCCCAGGTGAAATAGCCACTTCCCAGCCTCATGTGCTGGGGATGGGAAGGGAGAAGCAGAGCTCATCGTTTAGCTGTGAATGAAAAAGGGCTCGGTCCTTCCCAGGTGGATTTTGGCGAGATTGGTGGGAAGTGGACAGTTAAAGATAGCTGGGGGAGCACTGTCTATATAGCCTCAGGATTAAAAGGCCATGTACATAGCTACACCATGGCGTCGGTCTGAGCCGAACAGGAGTTCGGCGCAGAACTGCTGGCACGAGCAAGCTGGCTGCCAGTGAATCACTTTAATGCTCCATTTTCGGTTGCACAAACACGCAGGTTTACAGTAACTGTGCATATGTTGCATCCCATTGCTCCTCATCAGATTCACTGACGCTCCACGGGTCGTAAAAATTAAATGGGCATAAATCCATCAGCCCTGGGGTTCTTCGTTGAATGCTATAAATCCCACGAAAACTAATTAAATAGGACAATGGTGTCCATTTAAAGCTGGCACATACAAATGTAAGCTATTACCGCAGCAAAGACAAGACTCAAAATCGATTTGCAAGGGCAAGGGCAACTCGAGTGCCCACGCCAAAGGGTTGGTGTTGGGTACATCCTAGCTCACCATAGCTTGCAGCTCCTGGCCGGGAGAGTTAAAAGATTGCTTTAAGCTCCTAAGATTGATTTCTCCTCTGCTTCGCTTTCTAAATCAAATCATCCAATTAACATGTGTGCTGGAGTTTGTTGCTTGAAATGTTATCTGGCGACTCTAAAAGCTTTTCGTTATTGCTTTTCGCAGGGCTTGTTTGTTAAGCAAATGTCTTCGTCGCTGCCGTAGGGGAGCCTGTTCTGCTGCTCTTCCCTGCGCTGATTAAAGCCTCCAAACAAGCGATGTCAGCGCGGATCGGGGTCGGGATCAGAGTTAACGCTTTTCGTAACGCTTGTCTGGGGTGCTACAAGTGTGCAGCTCTGCAGGGTTTGTTGCTCTTCTGTAATTTGTGTTGGTTTTATGCTTTGGAAAGGGGAGGGAAACCGAGGCAGGGGGTGGGACAGCACCGTCTGTGCGTGTTTATTCAAGCGGGGTGGCTCGGCAGGGAGCTGAGCCCGGCTTTGCCCATGGCATTGGCCATTTCCCGGTTATCTTTCAGGGGTGAAATAAGCGTTTCCACCTGAATAGCACTCACCCCAGTGAAACCCTGCTCACTGAGCTGCTCTCACTGGTTTTAAGGAGTTAGACATGACACCTCCAGTAGCTTTAAATGTACGACCTGACAAACATACTACTGCTCTTGGGTTCATAAATCAGATTCTTAATGATGCTCATAGGGAGAACTGAACTCGGCAGAGCTGAGCGCAGCTCAGCTGCCCGCGCTGCAAACAGCTGGCGTCTCCCCATCGCTTTGCACGGGGCTGAATGCTTCAGGTTTCATCCAAAACGTGTCCCCTCTGGGAACAGGCCTGCACATGTCCCGGGACGCCCTGGGAGCTGGGCATGGGGGAAGCCCTCACCCATGCTGGGTGACTGGGGAAGTCTTCCCCGTGCTCTCACGTGTCTCCCACTGCCTTCTCGTGCCCTGAACTTCTCCTTCTCCCTCCCAGCTTCAGTCTGAGTTTGCGCAAGATTTTGTATCTGGAAGATGGTTGGACTTGAAGATCTTAAGTTTATTTTCCAACCCAAATGATTCTATGATTCAGTGAAAATGCTTGTCCAACTCTTCTCCAAAGGAGCAGAAGGGTCAGGGGCTTAGAGACAGGTTGCCCTCAATCTCCTTGCTTGCCTCTCTGCTTTCTGGCTTTTTTCTGATCTTCTTTACTGTGGGGAGAAGCCAATAAAGAGGAAAGAGAAGGATTGAGTTGGAGGGAAGGGAAAAAAATCCTGAACAGGCAAATAATGTCATTCCCTGTCTTCCAGCCAGTCCCCGGTTGCTTTAGCATCTGTGGCGGGGGGAGATATCGGCCACTGATCGCCCACGGGCGAGACTGCGCAAGGTCCCTGGGAATGAGTTACCCTCTTGTCTGTAGGGGACGTGCTGGTGCTCACCTCCATCTTGGAGAAATCCCTGTCTGGGTGCTTAAGTATCCCCTATAATCTATTTTTTTTCTCCTCTTCCGGCTTGTAGGGAATGCTGAGATGTTGGTGGGTTTTGGGGATGGGGAATGATGTGCACCTGGCAATAACGCTGTTCCCTGGGATCTTGCAGGCTGGACCTGCGTATATGTAGCAGATTATAAGATTTGCTGTAAGCTTCTTGGAGGAAAGGACTGAAAATTGGCCTGTTGGGAGAAGAGTGAGGGTCTGTAAACACTTTGGGGCGAGCTCAGCATCGGCCCGTTCCCCTTCGAGCACCGCAGTAAGGGCTTGAGCTGGGCTGAAAGGGCATCATCACCTCCAGCTGTTGAGCATCTGCCCACAGGAGCTGCTGGGATGCCCAGCGGTGACAGGGGCTTGTGCCGGCCAGTGCCCCAAGATGACCCTGGCCCCTCTGAGATGGGCACGATACAAACGCAGACTTCACCGACTGCGAGGAGTTTGTGAGCGCCGTGTAGCAGGTGACAAATCCGGAGCAAATAACTGGGTTGTCCCCGTGAAGGGAAGCTGACAGTCTGGCACTTGCGTGGCACTTACGCCGCTTTCGAAGCCTCGCTCATCCTTACGACATCAGCTAATACATTAGAAAGGAGTCCTGCATGAGTCGGTGGCTTGCCTGGATGTCAGGGTGACGGCGACCTTGTTTGCAGGAGGGACTGGGGGATGCAGGGACCGTCCTGGTGGGCTGCCGGGAGCAGGGGGAGGAAAAGACAGACCCCTGGGCAGGGAGAAGAAAGCTGGTCCTGTGGTTTGGCACCGGCACCAAAGAGGCTGTGAAGGAAGGGGAAGACTTGGCTGGGGTCCTGCAGTGTCCAGTGCTGCCAGTGAACGCTGGCTCTGGCTGGGGAAGGAATGGAAGGGCTGGAAAGAAAGGATGGAGGAGAGGGGTTGGAGCTTCCCTGTAGGAGCAGATATCTGCTTCTCTCCATCCTCCCCAAATATGTGACCTTCCCTCCCCAGGCGGCCTGAGGATCTGGGGAACATGGAACATGTCCTGCTCTGCTGCCCTGAGCCCTGGGAGGTGGCACAACCCATCACGGCTGGCAGAGGTCCTGCTCCAGTGACCCCTGGCCAGGGCCACTTGCGGGAAGTCACCCAGTAATTATGGCTTGTGTCACCCGGGTTAATTAGTCCTTGAGGACGTGACTCCTCACTGACCTACTCAGGTGGCATTTAACCCTTTGCACGCTGCTACTGCTCTGCCAGGCTGAGTAATGGCAGGAAAAGGGCAATAGGGGTTAAATCCATCAGCTGGGGTTATTGGTCTCTAATTGCTTTATTCTTTACTCGCCTGTAAAAAGCCAGTCCGGGGTCACAAGCCTTTGTCACATGAGGATTAAAATGCTCAAGTGAGTTAATGCCGGGGCTGGTGTCACTGCCCTGCTCCTCAGATCCCTGTTTGTCCCATCCGGGTGCTGGCAGATGGGGCAGATGGGGCTCAGTGCTTGGTGTCTGAAGGTGCAAATGGTGCCCTGAATGTTCTGCCTCTGAGAGACAGGGGAGTGTTCTCCTTGGCACATCAGTGCCTCCAGCCTGCAGATCTAGTGCCCTCTGTTCTCTCCTCAAAATTCAAATTTAAAAAAGAAAACGAGGCATCTGCATTTCAGCTTGCTGCTAAATGTCAGGGCATGGTCCCGGAGAGAAATGTTCTCCAGAGCATCTAAGAAATGGCAGGGCAATGCAGAGAGGATTTGGGAGCTGAGGTTATCGAACGCAAGCGTAAGCATGTAAGAGCCAGGGTCCCATTAGGAGTCAATGAGACATGGCTCCCCAGGCCGCCCGAGGGCTGTAGAAAGTCATGCCCATCTGCATGAGGTTCCCCCGAGAGCTGGCTAAACTCATTGCATGTTCTCCTCTAGATGGTTTTCCATCAGCTAGAGCAGTTTGCTTGGGAACTGGATGGCAGAGCTGGGCACGGGGGAGTGCTAGCTTTGCCTCCTGCGTCCCCATGCCAGGCTTGAAATACGGGGAGAGGAGGAGCTGAGGCTGTGATCCCTATAGCTGGGCTTAAAAGCACTTGCCATTCGAAGTGCTTGCTGTAACTCAGGGTAAGGGGAGCTGAATGTCCTCTTCTACTGCCTCGTTTTGCTTGTGACTGCTACTCTTTCTCCTGACGCATGGAAGTGGTCACGGTGTGACAGCTCCTACGGAACAGGTTTCATCCTGGATGGGGACATACTTCCCCTGTCTGGTCACCCTGACCCATCCTGACCATCAGGTTGTTGGATACTCTGGAAAACACAGGGAGACAAGATCCTCGGCTGGCAGAAATAATCACCGCCGAGCTCCATGTGACTCTACCCATTTGCTGGACTTGCACAGTTTTTGCTTGCGACCCACGGGCAAAGCAGGGAGGGTCCGAGCAAGGTTGCCCAGCACCCCTCTCCCAGGGCTCCCCCGCCCCTCCCTGCGTTTTCCCAGCCCCTGCCGAACAGATGGTGCTGATTTTCGCAGGGGGGCTGGAGGAAACAAAGCCCAGAGTGATGGGAGGCTGCAGCCTGTCTCCCAAACGCAGCCCGGGGGATGACATCTGTGGGGACGGGCTGATGCGTGTGGGTGTCTGTGGCATGCCGAGCTGGCGCTTACGCCTGCCCTATCTCACTTTTCTTTCTCCTTTGTTTTCATTTCTTTGTTTTCTTTCTTTTTTCCTCCTTTCTAGATAAAGAAGCTCGTGGACCGTTTGCAGGGATGTCGGTGAAGCAAGCGGGCTGCCTCCCCGCCTCTGCCCAGCGCAGGACCAGAGGCTGACTGGAAGCTGACATGTTGCCCCCTCCAGCCCCTGCTCTGCTGTGCGATGCCCAGCCCTGCCTGCCCTGCCTGCCCTGTCCCTAGCCTTGCTCTCCACCGGTGATACACGCTGCTTTCCCTGGGCTGCATTTCGAGCATGCTGCAGAAAGCCAGCGCGCAGCCGAAGCCCGGAGGAGTTTTGCGGTGAGGCCAGTTGATAAAAGCCAAAGAGTTGCCCCTTCCCCGCCCCTGCGTGGATAAGCATCTCGGACAGCAAATTTCTCTATGCTCAGTGGGTGTCAAGGTCCTGGTCTGCAGGCTCAAAGAGGCGGGGCTGCCATGGAAGAGAATGTGTTCAGCGTGCAGCAGATACAGCCCAACGTCATCTCAGTGAGGCTCTTCAAGCGCAAGGTGGGCGGCCTCGGCTTCCTGGTGAAGGAGCGCGTCAGCAAGCCGCCCGTCATCATCTCGGACTTGATCCGGGGAGGGGCTGCGGAGCAGAGTGGCCTCATCCAGGCTGGAGACATCATTTTAGCTGTCAATGGCAGGCCCCTGGTGGACATGAGCTATGAGACCGCACTGGAGATACTGAGAAGCATCGCCTCCGAGACCTACGTGGTCCTCATCCTGCGGGGCCCCGAGGGCTTCACCACTCACCTGGAGACCACTTTTGCAGGTGACGGGACGCCGAAAACCATCCGTGTCACCAGACCCCTCTGCCCAACTCCGAAGGCAGTTGACTTGTCCAACCCAAGCTTGCACGGCAAAGAGCAGCCACTGCCAGCAGCCGACCACACCATGGGCTCCCTGTGGACAAGAGAGATCAGGCGGGAGGTGGAACCGATGGTCCACGTTAACGGCGTCGTTACCGGCAGCAAAGGGCAGGACGCCGGGAAGGGGAAGGAGGGTGCTTGTGGTCACCCTTGCCTCAATGGCAGCGTGGAAGACAATGAACTGCTCAAAGAAATTGAGCCTGTCCTGGATCTTCTGAAGAGCAGCAGTAAGGACAGCGATGGAGATGCACCCTCCAAGGTAGAGACAAGAGATATAGAAGTCCAGGTGGACTGGTAGGTCCCTAAATACATTTTTTACATTTGGTGAAATGTGCTGGTTTTGGCAACCTGACGTGGCTGGTTTAGGTGTTGGTGAACACCTCTCCAGAAATGGCTGCTGTCTGACACAGCAGGATGGAGATGGAAAAGAAGGGATGTAAAAAAAGGGGGGAAGCAGTTGATGAGGGGAATATAAAAATAATGAAAAATTGGGAGTAGATGGTGGAAGAAAGGGAGGAACATGTAAGTGTGGGAAATCGGGGAGACAGCAGGAGTAATGTCTCATGGAAAGTTGAGCTATGCGATGTGGTGGATCATGGGCTGGGCCGGGATTTGTTTCTGTTCTATGTTCTCAGTCTCATTTCTTTTAAGTTTAAACAAAATGCCGTGCCTCAGTTTCCCCACCTGTCAAATAAGATTCATGGTATTGTGTGTCCTTGCTATCCTGCTTTAGAGCTCTCCAGTTGAAACCTGCTATTGATTAACTGCCGGAGAGGGAGAAAGAAGGTCAGATCAGCAGAGAAGGATGCTTCCCAGGAGAAATGAGTTTCAAAACCTTCTGTGCTTTTGGCAGTCAGGCTCTGGCTTGGGGAGGGGAGAGAGGAGCCCCAGTCCAGCTCCAGCTGAAGCCAAGGGGACCTTTGTGCAAGGGCAGCGGGACCCGCCTTGGGGTGCTCCCGTCTTCTGGGAAGTGGGGGAAATGTTTCCCGTCGAGAGCTCAGAAATGGCCATCCCTTGTTGAAACACAGCAGCGGAGCTGCCTGTTCATCCCCTCTGCTCTTTCTAGACCAAGCTGATTATTTCAATAAGCGTATGCATGTATAACAAGGGTGAGGATGCACGCATGCTTGCCCCATGGCTTCTTGAGGAAGGTGAAGTCCTATCGTGTGGGTGGAACTGCTTCATTTCTGATATCTGCTTCTGCAAGGGGCCATGTGTGTGGTGTTGCCCTCCTGATCTTCCTCAGCATTTCCCCGAGACGTAGACCATTGCTCTGGAGCTGAAGCCGCTCCCTGTGGCCCTTCATATTTTGCAAAAATGTCGTTAGTAACTATTTTTTTTTTGCGTATCCGCTCTCTCGCCTCCTGGCTGTTTATTAGCAATGATAGGTTGTCTTTTCCCGGTGCCTTTCCCCAGGTCCCCAAACACATTTTAACAGTGTCAAGTGCCGCAGCAGGTTGTGGCTGCCCTCGGTTATTGACTGGCTGTAACAGCCAGTAGGATTTTTCAGGAGGGTGTGCTGAAGCTGGTGGTCTCAATTCAGTGATAGAGGGATTTGTAACGTCAAGTTCCTTTGCTGCACCTGCTTGCTTAAGGAGAGGGGGAAAAAAATCGTTTTGTTTTGGTTTGTTTTATCAGAAAAAACGAGAGGGTAAAGGCAGAGCTGTTGACTGCGGAGGAGCGGGATCCCTGTGGTGGGTTCCCTGCCCGGCTCGGCAGCAGAGCCCAGGCTGAGCTCCGGACTGTTCCCGTCACAAACCAGCACCCATGCTGTGTGTTTTCCATTTTCTTTTTTTTTTTTTTTTTTTTTTTTTTTGAATTTCTGGTTGGTTTTGCGCCTTTGTTTCTGCTCTCTCCCAAATTGTGCTTTTTTTTTTTTTTTTTTCTGCAGAGGACAGTTACTCAAACCCCGTTAGGGTGGTCACACTGAGTCAGAGGGAAAAAAAATCAGCAGAGCTCAGCGATGGCGGCGGGTGGCAGATGTCTGGGGAAGAGCGGTGGGACAGGGCACGCTGGGGGACAGCCTTCCCTGCCCTCCCCTCCCTGCCACACACACCCCGGGTCTCATGCACTTAGCTGCTTTTGGAAGCTGTTGGGTTTGGTCTCTGCTCTGCAGTAGGAGGCAATTTATCCCCTGAGCCCAGCACTCTCTCTTGAAGGCTGAGGGCTACCTGCCCAGACTGCACATCCTTTAATCCAGCACCAGCCCATCCCTAGGGGAACCTGGTTTAAGCAACCAAAGAATTGAGACCTTGAAAGGGTTGTGCTTGACTGCAGGTCCAACAAAATGTGCAGGCGTGCTTAAAAATCTCCTCTGTCCCTCTGTTTTTGCTAAGACTGCTGTGGTGGAGCTGGAGGTCATAGCCCAGCGAAGCCCTCAGAGAACACAATCCCAAGCCCTGATACAGGATACCAGCCTCACGCTTCAAACCGTGTCCCCCGCTGTCCCCATCTCATCCCACCAGCTGCAGGGTCTCCGAGGAAAGTCTGCTCCAGCTGCAGGGAGGGATGAAAACCGTGTTTTTTTCTTTGAGGAGTCTCTTCTACTCTGAGAGATTAAACTGAAACATTTTGAATTCACTTAAACTGAAGGACCTTGAACCAGCAAGAATATTAGCTGATGGGTATTTCACCAAAATTCCACTCACTCTATTTTTCAATACCCTTAAAAAAAAAAAAAAAAAATCTATGTAATCTATGTACCTTGGGACTGAAAATCCACTTTTTGGTCAAAATTAGTCTTCAGTATTCTGCTTGATGAAAAGCTGCAGCCTCGCTCTTGCGGTAGGACTCTGTGTGAGTGAGAAGACCTGGGCTCGAGCAGAGGAGCGGGAAAGGAGATATACTGCAGGGAAAACTTGTTGAGAGCTGCTCTGCAGGGTAAAGGGCATTTCTCGGCCGCCTCTCCTCCCTCTCTGGTGACAGTCTGGAAATGATTCATCTCCTCGGTTTGGTCTCAGAGCTGGGGCATTGTGAAGGTCTTCTACACTGAGAGTTTCCTTGGTCCATAGGAGAAGTGCAGAAAGGTCAGGGAGCAATGGGGAGCAGATAACTGGGGAGACTGTGTTGGTTGGTGCCAAAGAAATGCCAAAAAAATAAGCAAGCCTTATCAGATTGATGCAGCTCTCAGACCATCGGCTGTGACTTCTCCAGGCTGGGGGGTGGAGCAGGCAAAGCTGGTGTTAGTGAGAACAGGAATAGAGCTCTACCTGGACACCAGGAGGGTGAAAAACCTTTCTCAGGGTTGAGCTTGACCCCTACAGCCTGGACCACTTGCCATCAATTCAGCTGGAGATGCTGGTCTTGGGACCAATCCTGTTCTGTCTCCGTCTTCGCCTGGTGCTGACCTTCACAGCCTGCAGCACTTTGTGAAAGCCGGTCCGGCTCGCAGAGCTGTGACAGCTTTCCTAGGGCAGAAAGGAATGGTACAAGTTGGAGGTTATTCACAAGGAGCCAAACACTTCTTGTTCAAGGTGGGCTTTGCCAAAAGTGATTCAAGTTACATCTGATACTTTGGGCTTCCAGCCCATGTCTCTAGTGTTAGCTCCAAGGAAAACTGGAAACTGTGAAGTTTGCATTGGGGGAAAAAAACAGTTCCTCTCCATCCCCTGCACCCGTGGTCTGCACTCCCCGGGTGAGTTGTCCCTGCAATGACCTGGCTTTTGCTCCCTGCTGATTTCCAGCTGTAAGGTGTCCTGGGTCCATGGCGTGTGCCTGTGGGGTGGGCTGCGACCACAGCTGAATGTCTGCTACTTGGCTGAAGCCGTCAGAGATGAAGTTGATCATAAAACAGAGCTTGGAAGTGGGGCGCAAGGTATGATGAGAGCTGGCATTTCTGCCATGAGGCTCACCGTGGGCTAGAAAACAAAAATAGAGTTTGATTCACTCACTGCCAGCTAACCTAGGTCTGTTTTTCCCTCTGAGCTCTAGGGAGATTGTCATGTCCCGTCTTCCCTCCCTCTCCCCCCCCACTGACTTGCTGGTATTTATTTTTCTTCTCAGGTCTATTCCATAACATGAACAGCATGATGGAAACATGGCAGTTTCGGTCCAAAAAGCAGCATCAGCATCCCTGGGAGGGAGGAGTGTGCTGAGAGCAGGAATTCTGTTTATGAAGGGTTTCAAGGTTTCAGGCTCCATCCTGCATTGGAACAAACCCCATAATTTTGCAGTTCTTGAAGAGAAAATTCTCTTCCTCCCACCTCCTTTGCCGCCGCCAAAATCTCTTTGTGTTGCTCACAACATTTCATTTGCATTTCTGATGTCTTCATTATTCTGTCCTTGGACATGAAACTTTAAAACCTCTAAAATGAAAAGGTTCCCTGAAACTATCATGTTATTCCATTCAGCAAAATGGTGAAGGAGGAAGCTTTGGCAGTGAATAACCCTCCCCTTCTCTCTCTCGGTGGATTCTTCTTCTTCGTCACTCTGACTACATCAGTCTAATCCAGAGAGGGATTTTATGCCTGCAAACAGCATATTCCACCCAAATATACCCTTGTGGAGGCCTCTTGGACCAGTCTCCAAAGCACCCTTCACCCGCTCAGCCCTCTGTGCTGGCACTGCTTCTTTCATCCCATGGGATGACCGTTCTCCTTGCACACGCTCCCAGCAAACCCACGACCCACATACAACCCATGGCCCCGCGCTCTCCCAGCAGCCCTGAACTACGTTTGGCCTCTAAATAAGATGCGGAGGCTGAAACCCTGCGGGTGCTCTTTGGGCACGGCTGGGAAGGGACGAGCGCGGCGGTTGCAGGTTGCATCTGACGCTGGCTGAATCGCGAATGATGCCGATGGGACGTTGGGATCGCTTGGATTTATTCTCAGGTCTTGATCTGTCAATGCCTACTCAGCAGCATTTATCAGCCTCATATTTCATAGGCTTTTCTCTGAAGCGTCTCTGTGCAGCTTGCTGGGTTTATTAGTCCCTAATCCCAGCACTGGGCACAGCCCAGAGACGCTCTGACCTTCTGAGGGCACAAGACCTTCTTCAAGCCATGCCGCACGCTTGTCGATGAAGTGTTTGTCCTCTTCCTTCAGTGCAGTTCAAGCTCTCCTTTCCCATGTAGGAAGTGGTTTCATGCTTTGATTGCTCTGCCGTTGCCTGCTCCGGGCACGCTGACCCACTGCCCCTCCAGAGAGCTCATCCCACCTTTTGGCATTATTCCTTCTGCTTCCAACATTCCCGTTTGCTTCCTGAGCTCTGCTCCATCCTCTATACCCTGCAACCCCAGATCCTGCCCAATCCTTTCTCCTGCCTCTGCCTTAAATGTGTGTTCTTGTGCCAGACCTTGTTTTAACTCTCGAGGTGAGGAGTCTGCAGCCAGCATGTTTTCCAATGCTGCAGACTCTGAGCTGCCCCAGGAGGACGGTAGCAAGGAACTATTAACCTCTGAGGATGCAATGCCCTCTGAGAATGGTTTTCCATGGGTCAAAAGAAAGATGTGGCAAGAGCCATTTACCCCAGCCTCTAGAACTGGAAGGAGGAGCAGTGTGCAGCGGAGCCTTGCAGCCATCTCCAAGGACACACGAGGAGAGGGGAAGAAAGTAAAAAGAAGATATTTCTCTCCTGAAGCTCAGAGCAGGCGAGGTGTGCATGTGTGAGCTTTCCACACAGTCCCAAGCCCAAGCGTAGGGTTTTCAGCCACCGGGACGAGGGCCTGAAAGGATCCCATCCCCCGTGGGGTGCTGCTATCGGCAGCACGGCATGAGAGCCATCATCAGAAGTGTGGACATCGGCATCCTTATCGATTCATCCGAACTGGACCCTGGGGATTGCAGCAGCCAGTGGTATCTCTCATCTCTGCCTGGGAAATCAGAGAGATTTTTCTGCTAACAAAAATCAAAGGGGCGAAGTGACAAACTTTCTTTTTAATTTTTTTTTTTTTTTTCCTTTCTTTTTGGAAAAGCTTTGGAGAAATTTCTCAAAGGGCTGTCTCAGCAACTTCCCTTCTGCTTCATCACTCTGAGCACTGCAACATCATCAAATTAGTCAAAAGAAAACAGTGGTGCCTCTCATTTCTCCAAACAGCCAGATGCTCTTTCCGAGGTGAGGCAGCCTCCAAGGCTCTGCCTTTGCACCAGTGGGGGAGGGCAGGATTCCTCTTCCTTTTTTTAAGTACTAAATTTTGCTTTCAGAACAAAAGACGACCTCAAACAAGGTCCCTTCCCCAAAACCTGCTCTGGACCCAAGAGATCTTGCTAATAGTATTTAATTAATCTGGCAGCAGGACCACGTCAGAGAGAAATATCTGGATCCTGGATCTGGCCTTCGGGAAAGTTCAGCCAAACAAGTGCCTCCAAGGACAGATCTTCAGCATTGCTTCCAGTGCCTCAAAGACACTAAAGTGGTGCTTTTAAAAATGTTGTTCGTCCCCCCAGAGCGCCCAGGTCAGGTCTGACGGTGAGTCGGGAGGGTTTCTCCACGGGCTGCCGGGAGCCGAGGGCGAGCTCCCCTCCCCTGCGTAGCCGCAGACCGGGCTGCCCCACGGCAGCTCCCTGGCAGTGCCCAACCTGGCTGGCCCGAAACACCCCTCGGGGGCCCTGCGCCCTCCCCATCGCCCGCTGGGAACCCGTGAGGACGGCCCCTTGGGCTCTCTTGTCGCTACAGTGCTTTTGGAAGCGTTATCAGGGCACGGTGTCTTGGCCATCCTGCCAGTCTCCTTGAGCGTGTGAGTGGCATCCTTGTGTGAACGTGGCAGGTCGCCCCGCATCTGTGCTGGGGGCTGGGGAAGCCAAGTCAAGAGAGGAACAGAACTGACCCAAAAGACCCTGTTTCTGTCTGAGTTTGCAAACAAGGCAGTTACAAGAAATGGGCAGGAAATATTTGTAAGATGAAGCAATTGATTTTTTTTTTTCCTTTTTTTTTTTTTTTTTTTTTTTTTTTTTTTTCCCCCCCATCTGGAGAGAGGCTGTGGCTGCTCTGAATGGGCTTTTCTCTCCCTGTCTCTCTCCAGAGGACAGAGCCGGATACTTCTGGGGCGGGCTCATGTAGGAGATGTCTGCAGTAGCTCAGCGCCGCGGCACGCACCCGCGGCCCCGCGAAGGACAGACCTCCTCACCCAACGCTGAGCGAACCGCAGCACAACGCCAGCACGGAGACTAGAGATACAACCACGAGTTTAGTCTAATGGCTTTGTCGCAGCTACACTTGGCTGCGCTTTTATAGCAGAGACTAAGGGTGAGGGCAGCACCTCGCTGCCTTGCTCACGCAGCCATAAACCCATCACGAACAGCAATAACGCAGCCCGTTTCTGCCCCAGTTGCAAACATGCAATGGGACGTGGAGCATTTGCTCCTGTGCATCCAACCCTCAATGCCACCTGGATTTCCCGGCTCCTCAGGAAGGCGCATCTCACTGTCGGGTGACGCTCGAGACCAGGGAACGGGAGCAGGGCCCCGCTCCAGCAATACTTGCAACACACAAAATAGCCAACCTACAGCAATGACTTAATTCAAGCATCTGGTCTTTTTCCATGCTCTTGGCACAGGTACCAACATTTATGGTTTTGCTGGTGTGCGGGCAATGAGATTACACGTGCAGCCTCCCGGCCAAGACGTCCGGCTGCTGCTGCCGACTGATGGATTCCTCTCCAAGGTTTCCTTGTGCCGGCACACACCCGCTCAGATGGGCTTGCAAACACCTTCCTGGAAACAGCAGGTCGTGCCAGGCACCTGCGGGCGTACACTCAGTGTCATTTTGGAGGGGCCTGTGGGATATCTGGCACACGGGGGTCTGACTGCCCAAGCCTCTTCGGTCTGCATAGAGGCAAAGTCTGTGCCCCTGGAGAAGCACTGTGGTCCCCGGGAGGCAGATTCCCTTTGCTAAGTCCCAGGCACCAGTAAAGCCAAGGGATTTCTTCCATCACCTTATGGATTTAGTGCTTGTGTCTTGATTTTGGGCCAGTTATGGGGAGCAGCACACTGGGGATTGTCAGCTACAAGAGATGGCTCATGTATGCCCATAATTTCATGTCCTCAGAGGCCCTGTGTTGACCTGTCACAACTCTCCCTGATATGATGGGGCTCAGGGCAAGAGGGCAAGAGTGCAGCCATGGAAATGAATATTCTCCAGGGGGTTTAATAGCTGACCTTGACTTAGGGGAAAGAGCCAGATTTGCAGAGTCTTCAGCCTGCTAATTCTCTGCCTTGCTGCTGGGAATTCTATAGGGGGAGGTAGGCTGGACGTGTCAAGAGACCCTCAGCTTCCCCTTTGGATGGGCTGGCAGTGGGCAGAGTGAGTACTGTGTGGCACCGCCACCCTGTAGCAGAGGGCCAGAACCTATTGTCTTTGGCTGCGGCTGTGCGGTGCGGCGGGTGGGGTTTCTGGTGTTTTATCTGATTGAAACCCTTTCACATACTCACAGCTTGCTTTTCCTGAGGGGAGGCAGACAAAACTCAGTAAAAACTGCCCCTATGCTTGTACCTCCTTGCTTGCACCAGGCTGGCCACACTGACCATAAGGCAGCCAATATTGGGAAGGTGTCCAGGAGCCTGGTGTAGTATTTTGGCAGCAGAACAAAATTTTTTGTTCTGTAAAGGCAGAAAAATTACAGAAATCTTAAAGCACAGGGAGATTGTCTATAAACAAAGTCTTTTCCTTAAGCTGTACCTACAAGCTGGGGGGAAAGGAGGATTGTGAAACTGAATTTGTTCGTACGCGTGTATCTTCCCAAGACGGTGTCAAGAGCACCGTGTGGGTGTGAATTATTTCTTGAGTGCAAGTGTCCTACTTTGGTCAGTGCCCAAAGCCCACCGTCATTAATGGGAAGGCTCATTATTGACTTTAGTGGGCATCTGGAAGACTTTTAAGAACTGACAGCAGGAGCAGAGCAATTGCCAGCGTGCATTACCTCGGTGGTCTGTTGAGCCAGGGCGAAGGCAGCGGGGCTGCGAGCCGCAGGGCTGTGCCAGTCCTGTCCCATGGCCCCGTGCAGCCCAACCCACGGAGCAACTTCCCACGCGTGGCCTCACCAGGGCGGTCGGTGCCTTTGGTGCGGATGCCGCAGCCTGCCTTCTCCGAATATCACGTCTCTAAACCCCATTTGTTTTTCTCCTCCGTGAGGGCTCATATGGCAGTGGTTTTCCATCACCTGCTTGGATGGCATTTAACAGCCTCACCGCCATCCCGCGGCACGTTCCCCAGGCAAAGCGTGTGCGGCAGACTGTGCGCACCGAGAGTTACACCCGTCTCACTGCGCAGGCCAGGGCAGCCGGTGCTGGGGACATCCTCAGTCCCACAGCCTCACCAACGGCCCCAGCTCCGTGGAGGCAATCCATCAGTTTGCTTGAATAAAAACTCTTGCACTCGCCGGCATTTGCAGCATCTGTAAAGGTCAGGAAGAGGAGAGAGAGCTGTCTCTCCCTCCTGGGAGCCACCTATTTTTTCTTGGGATTTTTTTTTTTTTTTTTTTTTTTCCTTTCTCTGCTCATAAACACCACGCTGCTCTGCAAACCCAGCTGGTTTTGCTCTGGGGTTTTGCTCTGAGGTTTTGCAGCTGGAATTGCATGCATCTCTCCTTTCCCCAGGTCCATGCTTGCTTTCACAGGGCTCCAGCTCGGTTTTTGGGGTGCAGAGGGTCTGGTGTGTAACCCTGCTAGAGCCAGTGTTGTGGCAGGGGTTTCCTGTTGTTTTGCAGGCACTGCGCTCGCCCGCGCAGCGAAATTTCTATTGTGTTTGAGTTGCCCTCGCCGCGGTGATTCATCGCCTCGGCCGAGGCAGAGCGTTTCCTCCCCTCCCTCAAGTTGATGCGCGAGTTTTCACTCCTGCGGGAAGCAGCTGGAGCTGGTTCTGAACCACCTCTCCAGGACCTGGCCCCGTGGTCCCAGCACCCAGCCACCCTCCAGTTCGCTTGATCCAAATGGTTTTTAAACCTTCAGTTTCAGGGAAGGGGAAAACAAACTGCAGAAAGCCTTACCGGCTCGGATGGAGAACGACCGTGTCTTCGGTGACCTGTGGGGGAAGAGCAACGTGCCCGTGGTCCTGAACAACCCCTACTCCGAAGCGGAGCAGGTAAGAGCCCAGGCTCGTGCTGCTTTGGGTGGGAAGGAGGTTTGGGAGAATGTGACCCATCCTGGTGGGCTCTCATACCACAGAGAACCTGCAAGGACCACATGCACTACCCTGAAAACCTCTGATCCCAAGAGCTGGAGTTGATGGGGCGTAGAGCTTGTTTGGTCCAGAAGCTGAATTCCCCGGGGTTTGGGCAGGGAATAGGCCACTGGAGAATGATGTTCTTCATCCAAGGAGGCAGAGTGGGATGGGAGCGCAGCCAGGGACCAGGACTCTGAAACCTCCCTTGGCACTGTCATCCCTTTTTGTGGCAAAAAGCCGAGTGGCATCATTAAAGTCGTTTTGATTCATATGACGGTAATTCAATAGAGCACTTCAGATAATATGTTGTACGGTGCCTTTTCATCTCCTCACACTCCACGGACATAAATTCTCAAGCTTTCTTGCCAAAAGTGGATTAACTCCATGCTTGTAGCAAAGCAGAGACGTAAGGCAGACCCTGCCAGCCCAGAAAGATCACCTCGGGGAAAACATGACGTGCATGAGCACCGCCACGCCTGTTTGGGCAAACGTGTCTCCCTGATGGGATTAACCAGCAGCAGGGCAGGACATGGGGGACCAATGTGGGGATCATTTGGTCTCCTTGCCCCACCATATTTCTCAGGATGAGGTAGTAAGGGCTGTTTTCCAAGGGAGGGGAGAAAAGTGATTTAGTGGTCACAGGGAGATTTCTGAGAAAATCAGTATTTCCTCAGCTCGGGAATGTCCTCAGCAGATACCTCTGGCTGATGCCTCTTCCCAGCTCCCACGAGGTGCAACGCAACGCTCCTCCTTGGCATGCCATGTGCAGAGCCCCACGGGGCGCGTGCCACTCGTGGTGCGGCTGACACCCCCGGTGCCGAGCTTGGCCTCGATACCCAGCAGTGTCCAGCGGCTCTGCCCCTGGGTCTTTTCCCACTTCACGGGAGTTTTGCCGGTTGCAAAGCCAGAAGCCAGGGGGTGAGGCCGCCTGAGGTGACATGGTCCCTTCATGCCCATGGAGGTGACATGGTCTTGGCTGGGTTTCACTCTGCCCAGGCCCCGTGCCACCGGCACCGCTGTTTCTCACCGCTGTGCCTCCGGTCCCGTGCGCTTTTGCAGCACGCACAGTGCCAGTGGCTCACGGGACACGCCAGGCCCACCCTGCGGGTGCTCAGCACACGCAGGGTGGCTGAGATACTCCTGACCATGCCAGACTCCCTGCGTGGTTTCAACCAACCTGGTTGGATGCTGAGGTGCAGGTGGGTGCGATTTCCATTCTGCCCTCGCCTGGCTGTAGCTCAGAATTGTGGCCAGGTCTCCCAGCGGCATAGACAACCTTACTGTGGGTAAGCCTCCTCCATCGGCACACACAAATGGGTGCGTCCAAGAGCTGCAACACACTTTGTTCAGCCACTGGAGAGACATCCCTGGGCAGCCCCGTGTCCTGCTGCAAGGTTGATGCACTGTGGCAGGTATCATGAGCCCATCTTGCCCAAGGACAGGTCACTGCTTTGGTCCCTTTGCCCCAGCTCTGGAAAGACACTGTCTTTCTGCCTCCTTTGCTAAGCTCCTTGCATGTACGTGTCTGTTACTATAAGCACTTTATAACCTTCTGTGTTCAGAGCTTAATTTCTCTCTGTTTTAGGGCTGCCAAAACCCCTAGTCTTAAGCTGCTATTAAACTCTTTAATATTATTTTCACTAGAAGTACAGCTTTCTTTTTATCCTTCTTATCCCCAAATCAGTATCCCTGCTCTCCTGGAGGCAGTTTGGTTTTTCCCCCATACCCCCTGCAGCCGTTCACCAGGGCTGCGTGCGGTCAAGGCAACTGAACTTCTTGCAGGCTGCAATAAATACTGTTAATACAGGGGCAAGTCAAGCCAAGCGTGAGCTTTTTATACACGTTGTTCTTTAAAACGAGATTTGTTGGATTCACTTGGCCAGGTGGGGAATGTTCACTGAGGCTTGTAACAGCACACTGAAAGACCCATCGGACGTTGATCTCTATCCCTCTTTTTATGCAAAATCCAGCAGTGAGTTTTGTTTGTTTCCCAGGAGCCCAATCCCCTGGCCCTAAACCAGACCAACGGGGAGATGCTGTGACTGCACCAGCCCAGGTCCTGCATGAGTCATATTTCAGTCCGTACGGATTGATTTGTTAGGAGCTCCAGGGTAACCAGGTCGGGTGTGTGTCCGTGTAGCTGGTAGGGGAAGGGAGTCATATCAGCTCCATGCTTGTAAGGATGATTTGCAACTTTATAAAAGCAAAAAACACACTTTCAGCTAGCGGGTTTAAGGCAGTCTGGAAGGAAATGTCAGCACGCCAGTATATCTGTGACCTGGGCTAATGCTGCAGACCTCATCCTTCCACGGTCGGTGCATTTCAGCAGGGCAATATACGCCATCATCACAGGGGCTCCCAAAGCCCAGCTGGGACGGGGGAGGAAGGCTGAGAAACTGTAGAGCCCGCTTGGGTCTACCAAAAGGGAGCTCTTCCCTGCAGTTCTGGCCCCAAGAAGCGCCCGGGACTGGGTACATTTCCCCCCTGCATCTGTAAGAGCTGCAGACAGCTCGCAAGCTGTGCGCTGCCAGTAAGTGCCAACACGCTCCCTTGTAAAAGACGTTTGCATAATGCATGTGCGCCCCGACTGCTACGTTAGTCTCTCCGTTTGTCCCACTCTTGAGTCACTAATATCACAGCTGCCTAATTAAAACATGAAAGGATCTCACACAACCTCCCTGACAGAACCAGGGGTAATATTTGGTTCAGCTTTGCCATGCGGGGAAGGCGTACACACACACACACACACACACAGAGCTCTTTCCCAGTCTCTTCTGCGTGTCGCTCTCTCCACAGCTGCTCTGCGATGTGGTTGCCAGACCTGGCACCTCTGCTTCTTGTAGGTGGTGTCACCTCGGCTGCTCCAGCCTGGCTGGCAGCCCAGGGATTCGGCATGCCTCTGCACCCTGGCCCTCCTTCAGCAAAGATTCAAACTTTGCCAGTTCCTGCAGGGTAAAGACAAAAAGGAAAGGGAGCAGCTCTGAGAGAGGTTTAAGATAAAACATCTGTAGGCAGATGTTAAGCAGCCCATGTCCACCAGCTTGGACCATGAGCTTGCTCTTGGGCCATACCTGCTGTGTTTAGCAGCACACCTCCTAAGCTGCACTGAAACTCCATCAGCAAATCAAAACTAACTCAAAGTAAAAAAGTGGTGCTGGATCCAACAGTTTCTGCTTAGAACTTCTGATTTCTGTCTGGCAGGTGGAGGTACGGATGAAGATCGGTTTTGTTTGCATTTTTGAGCAGTAGTTTTCAGCTATGTTTTACCAGTCTCATAGAGACGCTCTGAGCAATCACGCTCAGAAGGAAGGTGGCAGATTATCCCCCTTGGTCCTAAGGATGGCCCAGGTTGGTTCAGAGAGCACAGGATGCTGTTAGTGGCTCAGCAATGGTTTAATTCTCTTGAAAGAGTAAAGCAAGCAGAAAAAAAATAACCAGGAACTGCCACTGTCATAATTCAGGTCAGATTCTCCAAAATGGGGAAAAAAAAAAAAAAAAAGCAAAAAAACCCCAAAAAACAACAAATGAACCAACTTAAAAATAGTGCTTTTCCAGGACTACATTTAGGAGGTGGTTCTTATTTGTCACTGGTTTTGAGGTCTGTATGAAGTCTTATATTTATTTTCTGCAGCATGGAAAGGGGAAGCTGAGATCCACTGTGTGGTCATCTGGCTTCAGGGGTTGGGACTTCAAAATGCTCCCTGGGAAGATCACAGGATTCGTGATGCGAGGAATGTCACAGAGAGGGTGACAGCATAGCCTGAGGGTGTGCAGAGGGTGGCTTTCGGAAACTGTGAGAACCAAAGAGGGTCCTACTGAGAGGTCAGGTTGTAAAGCTCCCCTTTCCCTTCCATCCTCTGTCTCTTGCTCCCAGATTATGCTTTCAGTGCATGGTGTATTACACTGTGCACCTCAGGCTGCTTGACAGCAAAATCCCTGTTTTCCAGGAAAAGAAAAGTGTGGGCCATATGGTAAAATCAAGGACTGGGCAAAAAACATGGCCAACATTGCCACCAGGGCAATGCAGTGATGTCTGCTCAGCCCGGGCATCAGTCTTGCAGTCAGGCATGGACGTGCCTCTGCTTCGGAATAGCAAAGCAATCCTTTGTCTGGCAAAGTAAGAACAAGTTAGATCTGGAGCCTCATGTGCTTTTGTCATCCTTGTGACTCCTGTTGCTTTCCCTTCTGGGTTTGCTCATCAGCAAAAGTGCTTCTGAAACATGAGCTTCTTCCACTGTGTGCCAGCTCTTTTTCAGTTGGTCCTTCAGGCTGTGATGCTGGAGTGGTACCATTGCTGCTAGTCCATGAGCTGCAACTGTGACATGAGCCCAGAACCACCAAAAAGGAGGGTGAGACCCTGCACAGCTCTGCTGAAGGCAGTTCTGTCTTTAAAAAACCTTGCAGATGTATTAGAAAAGGACACAAGCTGCAGAATGCACGTAGGAAGGCTACATCAAAACTCAGTCCAAGCCCAGATCTACTCTACAGAGATGCAAACCTTTAAGGGGTGCCAAATATAAGAAGGTTTTGACAGGACACTCTGGTGGGGATCAGGTCTCCCCCTGAAACCTGCAGCAACACTGTTGTGGTTGCAGTGACTGAGTTACATCCTACTATAAATTCTGCTTCCTAGAAGAAAAGTCTCTGCTTTCCAGGGCCACTGCAGATTTCACTGTCCCATGATACTCTGGCAGACGCTGACTGCTCTTTAAATTTTTAAATGCTTGGGGTGAATAAGGGTCACAGTAGAAATACTAGATATTATCTGTGAAAACATGTGGAAATACAAGCACTCGCAGCCAGATCTTCTTGCTACAAGCTGTCTGCTGGCTGCAGCTCTTCCTCATGTTGGCATATAACTCAAGATGTGCTGGATAAGCACACCCTGGCGCAGAGTATTGGGGAGGGCTGGAGATTTAGAGCTGAGACTGAAGTAATCCAACTATGCATAATTCAGCAGCCCTCCCACTTGCGTAATTTATCCCTCCTTATTCCTACAATCTTCCTGCACTGATATCAAAGGAGATGTGCCTTTGGCTCGCTCAGAGAAATGATCGGCTGTTAGCTCTATCTCACAGTGCTCGTATTAGTGAGGCAGAGCTTGGCATCTGTAAAACCTGAGCAGGTGATGCTCCTTAAAAAGAAACATTTAATGTATTTTAGAGAGGTAAGTCTTCCGCTGGGAAACTTGAACGCAACGTTCTCCAAAGTTACTTCTGTCTCTGTTTTTTAACACCTCTTCTACAGGTTTGGCTGTTCTATAAACAGGGACAACTTCTCAATTGCATTGGGAGTTGGTTCCTCCATTGTAGAATCCCAAAAGCTGCCAATATTTGGATCATATAACTTGTCTTGCCGTATTATCACTAGGATTTAAGCACAAGATACAAGATGCTGCTTGTTGTGGTGTTTTTTTTCCTTTATCTCGTTGATGAATACTAACCTTGTGCCTGGTCTTCACTGTTGTCCAGCCACCGCCATCTGGGCGGCAGTCCCCAACTAAGAACACAGTTAATGGAAGTCCTTCCAAATGCCCACGGTTTGTCAAAATCAAGAACTGGGAGACAGGCTCCGTGCTTCATGACACTCTGCACCTCAAGACGGCGATGGTGAGTAGAATTGATAGGACTGGCCAAAAGTTGTCTGAGCATAACTGAGTGGATCACAGTGTTTCCAAGATGGCTTTACCTGGAAATGCAGGACTGGATGAATTCAGGCCAGTCTTCTTGTCTCACCTCTGGTGCAATAAGCTGGATGAAAGGGAAGTCCATCTGGGGTAAATCAGGAAAAGCATATGACTTTATGCCAACTAGGGCAAGAATCTAGTGATCCCCAACTGTCCATATCAGGTGGGACAAGAGATGACTGCACATCCTTGAGCTGTCTTATACATTACAAACAGGTGTGAAAAGAAATAAGTTGGAAACGTCCCTGTTTGTCAAAGATGGCACCAACTTCTGCGTAGCTAATTGTTGACTTCCCTCAGCCAGCTCATGTAACAGAAGTGCTGCAGTAACCCAAGACACACTTGTCTCCTTCTGTCTCATCAGGCCACCGCATGCACTGAGCAGATCTGCATGGGCTCAGTAATGACTCCTAGCCAGCATGTCCGCAAGTCGGAAGATACCAGGACAAAAGAGGAGGTGCTCCTCTTGGCTAAGGACTTCATTGACCAGTACTACTCCTCCATAAAGAGGTGAGTGTTGGCCGGAGAAGGTCGCAGGCCCTGGCTGCTGCTTATGCTGAGATGTCACATGTGATCTGATCTTTCACAGTTGCGAGTCAAAGCAGGGTGAGACTGTGGTGCTCCACATTCAGCTGCTTCCGACAGGGAGTTTCCTTCCTAGCATTTGTTGTGTGCCCCTGCAAATTACTGACCTCTACCATTTGCACCAGGCTGTCTGTTATCTGAAAGCACACACGCATGTGTGTATATATGTGCACGCATGTGCTTAAGAAAGAAGGAACTTGTGCCCAGGTGGAGAGCAGCAGGATTCCCCACCCTCCTTGGTGACTGCCATCCCCTCCGTTCCCCACACATGCAGATCTGGCTCCAAGGCCCACATGGAAAGGCTGGAGGAAGTGACCAAGGAGATTGAAGCCACTGATACCTACCAGCTGCGGGACACAGAGCTGATCTATGGAGCCAAGCATGCCTGGAGAAATGCAGCCCGCTGTGTGGGCAGGATTCAGTGGTCCAAGCTGCAGGTAAGCAGCAGCAGAGCTGGAGACAGCTGGCAGGTTGTCTGGCAAAGGATGCACTGGAGTTTTGGAGAGGCAGAACTTGCTCTTCAAATACCTGGGGAAGCACAGCACAGAACAGGTACGTTGGGGGTGTCTGGCACACAGCAGCTATGGTCTCCTTGACAGCTTTGGGGATGCACAGGCTGGGAAGTCAGCAGGAGCTGGAAAAGCATCTGTGGGGTAGGTATAGCCTATGTCTGAAATGGGGCCAACTGGAAGCTGGCACTCCAGAGGAGATCTTCCAAAGTCAGATACTGCTCCAATATTTTACATGCTGCTTCCAAAACTACCACTCTGCCTGGAAAGAGACAGCAGGACACACTCATCCTCGGAACTGAGATGCTATGGCAGGAGAAGATTTGGCTCAGTGCCCTTTTGACTAGCTGGAAGTGTAGGGTAGGATCTGAATTTGTGATCTCTAGTGGAACCCCTTGGTAGAGAGATAATGTCTCCCTCTGTAACCTGGAGCACAGCTCAAGTGCTGCTGACCAATTCTCATGGCTGCTTCATACAGGGTAGAGGTACTGCCTGGGGCTGGGAGGCTGGACCTCCTTCACTCCACTCCCAGATCAGCTTTCAGCTCTTCTCTTCCACTGTTTCTTTTGGCACATCTGGATCTTGGGAGGAGCCGTTTCTGCAAAAAGTTGTCTTTGATCCTCCTGTTGACCCTCTTTTCTGGTTTCACCATCCTTTTGTAGATGCCCCGTCCCTGGAAACATTTAAGGTCAGGTTGGACAGGGCTCTGAGCAGCCTGATCTAGTCGAAGGTGTTCCTGTTGATTGCAGGAGGGTTGAACTAGATGGTCTTTAAAGGTCCCTTCCAACCCAAGCCATTCTATGATTCCCCAACCTCTCAGTGGATCTCAGGCCTGACCGATACCTGTCGTATGTCAGCTTTGAGTCTTGATCTGCAAGACACAAGGAGCAGAAACCAAAACTGTTAGTGGATAAACCAGGAACAGCAGCAGGTTGAGAGCACTGGATTGAGGAGGTTTTGGCCTGAGCAGCAGATGACTCACCTCTCCAAAGCAGAAGGGGCAGCTGGCTTAGACATCCATGTGTTGTAAAGGCAGGGAACACATAATTATGGAGCTTTAGATACCTAACAAGCCACAGTGACCTCTGGGGCTTTCCATGTGCTGTGTTTCTTCTGCTTGGTTCTGCCCTAGGAGTTGGAGCATCCTGTAGCATCACAATTTTTCCCACTATTTCAGGTGTTTGATGCCCGGGACTGCACCACAGCCCATGGGATGTTCAACTATATCTGCAACCACATCAAATATGCCACCAACAAAGGGAACCTCAGGTGAGCCACCGGGGAGTCACCAGGGGTTTACACCCGAGGTCTTTGGATGTGTGTCAGCTCTGGGCCCTGCCTGACATTGTCTCCTTTAGCAGCCGCTGTGCAACGGGATGGTTGTGACCAACACCTGTTCTGGGGAGCGTGAGAGGGACTTGATATCGGGGGGAGGTGTCCTGCTGGTCCAAGTATATCTCTTCTTGCTCTCTGGGGGACCTCAAAGGGCAGATTTTTCCTATTATTTCTCCTTTCCTCTATTCTGCATCAAATGCATGGACTGCTCTCCAGATCTATCTGAAACCCCGTGTTAGCAGACTGGAGCTGAGTTGCTGGAAACACCCCAGATTCCAGAGCTAGAATGCACATGCCATTCCTTCTTCTGGTGAAGGAAATATAATAAATAGTTTGGGGCTTGTCCAAGGCACAGGCGGAGGTGGTGCACAGGGTGGTGGCAGGCAGGGGCAGCACCTTTCCCTCGCAACACTTTGTTGGTCCTCTGATGACCCCCGTCCTGTGCCTCTGCAACACCCTCAGCATTCACCAGCGCTGCCTCTTCCTTCCAGATCTGCTATCACCATCTTCCCGCAGCGGACGGACAGCAAGCACGACTTCCGCATCTGGAACGCCCAGCTCATCCGCTACGCGGGCTACAAGCAGCCCGACGGCACCGTCCTGGGAGACCCCGCGAACGTGGAGCTGACGGAGGTACCGGCTGAAGCCATCCTTCCTGGGCACCACGGGCGTGGGGCTGGTGGGGGCACGCAGAAACTCTGACCATCCCAGTAGCGAGGAGGGTGCCGGGTCACGCAGGGTTTATCACATCCACAAAGAGCTGGATTTGTCTCACCCTCAGGTATTTTCTCAGGAATAAAAACTGTTGCCATGCATGCAGGGCTTGGCCATAGCTGCACTGAAAGGCTCTTATCTCATCTTCCTTTTGCTGAGGAGGGGTCACTTCGGGGTGCTGGGGGAACTGTTGCAGGAGGACATGTGTGCCCACCGCTGACCTGGGCCAGTGGGAATCAGAAACGAGATTTGCCTCATGCTGCTGCCTGTTGGCACTTCCCACACAGCGCCAGTGCTCTGCTCAGCTCTTCCCAAACTCCTCTGCTTCTCTCACCCATTTTCTCCTTCTCTATTACAGGCACAAACAGGGTAAGCAGCTTTTTCAGAGCCATGATGCTACCTGGTCATTAAGTAATAGGCTCGTTTTCAGCCCAAATCCCCCTTACTTGGCCATGGGTTGGCTGTGAGAGGCAACCCTGTGTCATAGCTCCCTTGGATGGAGGTTGTTCCTCAACCATAAGGGCTGAGCAGAGATGCTGTTAGGAGACCCTGCTCAGTGCCATGCGACTCCCTTGCCCATGATGCTTGGAGAGCAGGTGACCTCCTGGGACTTCTAACCCCACCTTTGTTTTGCCTGTAGATCTGCATTCAGCAAGGATGGAAGGCGCCGCACGGGCGCTTCGACATCCTGCCCCTGCTTCTTCAAGCCAATGGCAACGATCCAGAGCTCTTTGAAATCCCCCCGGAGCTTGTGCTGGAAGTGCCCATCCGGCATCCCAAGTAAGTCAGAGTAAGCCCCAAAACTGCTCAAGGGGATCAGCAGGACTGAGCTCCTCTGGTTTCACCCTAAGCCATCTCCCGTGCTTGGCCTTTCCTTGTCATGGCTTGGGTGCTTTACCCAAGACACTCTTCCGTGTCTTCCCTCCACTCTGATGTGAAGCTGGCAGAACCTGGAGGTAGAAAGCAAGTTGTGTCTTTGTCTCAGGGCTGCCTTCCCTTTCCTTGAAGTCTGCCACTCTGTACTTAGTTACACCACTCTGTAATGCTCTTGATATATCACTTTCTCTCCCTCAACAGCCCCTGAGGGACGTATTGCCTCCAGGAGCCATTCAGCTTACATGTCCTTCAGCCTGGTGGCTGGTAGCAAAGTAACCTCCTCCACTGCCCTGCCTGCGCTGGGGAATGGCCGATTGCCTCACCCTGTTGTATCCCGGCAGGTTTGAATGGTTTAAGGACCTGGGCCTGAAGTGGTATGGTTTGCCAGCAGTTTCCAACATGCTCCTCGAGATTGGTGGCTTGGAGTTTTCCGCCTGCCCCTTCAGTGGCTGGTACATGGGCACAGAGATTGGGGTCCGGGACTACTGTGACAACTCTCGCTACAACATACTGGAGGTAATTCCCCCTCCTTGAGGAGACCAGGCGCTCCTGGGGTGCAGTGGGTGTGTGTGAAGTTGCTGGGAACCAGGCAAGACACAGGGAGAGTGTTGCCTTGATTGGGAGAGTACAGGACATCCAAGTGTCCCTTAGATAGGGCAGTTACATTCTCCTGGAGCCACATGGCCAAGGGTACAATAGGATGGTGAGGTTTTTTGTGTCCCATGGGACCAGGTGGTATCTGACACAACAAGCGTAATGCCTATTGAGCTCCCCATAGACTTCTCAAAGCATCTTATAGATCAGCAGGCACCTGGACATGTGCTTGATTGAGGCCAAGTGCTAAGATGTGTTGGGGCTGAGAGGGTGCTGAGACACTTGGCAACTCCTCAGGGACATACCTACCTATAGGGACCCTCCAGCTGGCCCCCCTGGAGCACTCTACCACAGCTTGGGGACTCCTCACACTAGGGACAGGTTGAGTCAGAGACAAAGCCAAGCTGCGTGGAGGTACTGGTGCGGAGGGTCTGCGCCCATCAAGGGTGACTTTGCCCATCTGAGGGGTATGTTGTGTTACTTGGAGGGGCTGCATCCCTCCCCAGTTGCTTGAGAACTCACTTGGAAACCAGAGGGGTGAGAGCAAGTGTGTGTGTGAGTGTTTGGGGAAGGACTCCTGGTAGAAGAAACGGGCTGCGAAAGAACAGAGTTTGTGAGCAGGAGCGGGTCTGACATGTGCAGGGGTCTGTTCCTCCTAGCACATGGATCACCATCATCTCCTGCTGTCCCACTGACCCATCCATCTCCTCTCCTCCCACAAACATCAACTGCTCTTGATGGCCCTTTTCAGCAGCATTTAGTCACCTTCCTGTGCTCAAGGGAGGAAGGGAGGCCAGACTGGTCTTGCTCCTGTCCTGGAGAGGAAAAGGCAGGACCACATCTTCTCAGAGGAAAGCAAAATGTCAGCGCTTCACTGCAAGTGTGCTGCTCTGCCCTGCCAGTGCCTTGCGTCAGCCTGGGTCCCTCCTCTGGGTTCCTCTTCCCAAGCAGAGATCTTCAGTCCTTGGTTCTTGGCCATTAAAAGTGTTCACCTTCTACCATGTTCTGTTACAGCAAGTGGCCAAGAAAATGAATCTGGATATGAGGAAAACCTCCTCGCTGTGGAAGGACCAGGCCCTGGTAGAGATCAACATTGCTGTGCTGTACAGCTTCCAGGTACATGAGTAGCAGGGCTCTGTTTTGTTTGGATCAGGTTGAAGGACAGGGGGACTGGATGGGGCAAGAATGGAGACATCCACCCAAGGACAACGGCAGCAGCTGATATACTCAGCTGAAACTGGGCTGTGCCTTCCTAATTTTGGGCTGTTCCAGGAGCCTGCAGTGAAATTTAATAATCTCTGTGCCCTGGATGTTGCAAAGACAGCACTACCAGCACCTGAGCTCTGCCAGTCCAGAGGGAATGCCCTGAGGGGGCAAGATCCAGCCCTTCTGTCCCGTCCATGAGGCACAAATTGGCCCAGGTCCTCCCCCTGCCTGCACTTAAAGGTTAAATAGCAAAACTAGTCCTTGGCAACCCAACCTCAGAGGGTAGGAGTCCTTCCCAGAGCTGGATCAGAGTTGTTTCTTGAGTTGGAGGAATAGCCATCCCATAGCACATCTACTCAGGAAGGACAAGGGCAGTTTTACAGCCTCCTTGGGAAGACCAAGGTCAGCAGCCACCCTGTGCCATCTCCAAAGGTACAGTCCCGTAAGACCATAGGAGTGAGGCATATTTGGGTTGAAGAGCTCCAAATGCAAAATCTTGGCATTTGCCTTCTGGGGTGTATTAACTCACAGCTGTTGGCTCTGCTCTCTTCTCTCCCCAACAGAGTGACAAGGTGACCATTGTGGATCACCACTCAGCCACTGAGTCCTTTATCAAGCACATGGAGAACGAGTACCGATGCCGTGGAGGTTGTCCTGCTGACTGGGTGTGGATTGTCCCACCAATGTCTGGCAGCATCACCCCAGTCTTCCATCAGGAAATGCTCAACTACCGTCTCACACCCTCCTTTGAGTACCAGGTACTGCCTGCACCCTACCTTCCACCAGTGCTGTGTGCCCAAAGGAATAGCCAAGAGCAGGGTGGGAGCTGGAGCTCAGAAGATGCAGGAAGGAGAGGGACATCCTCTAATCCCTTCAACAAGCTGGTCCTTGAGGCAGTGAAGTCCATGAACAAGTCTAATTGGTGATTCCCCCTAACATGGTGTAATAACCCCCTGGATATTGCACCCTTTCACAGGGGAATGGTTTTTTGCCCCTCCATGGGAACTTGGGACACCTGAGGCCCCAACTTTTACCACTGGAAGCAGAATTAATCAGAGTTGCTCCCTTCGGAAGTGCCTAATTTTGCACTTTAATGGCTAGGTGAGGAAACGACCTGATAGTCACTGTACCTCTCCTCTCTACAGCCTGCAGGTTTGAGTGGATGGCTCCTTCCAGCCTGGGGATCCAACAATTTGATGGGGAGCGCTCCTGCCCAGCAGGCCAAGCAGCAGGCTGAAATGCTGGTGCTGGAGTACTTAACACTTCAGACCATGGGAAAAAAGCCCCTAAGCAAACACACCTTCATTAGCCAACCACCTTTGCTCAGGTGGTTTTCACACAATGTGACCTTTAGTCAAGAGCCCTTAAGGAACAATCGCAAAACAGGAGCAGTCTGTTCATTTCCGTAGCCAATCCACCAGGAACCCCGGTGATTCCTGGCCCCGATTACAGACAGTCGCCTGTGAGGGCACTGAAATAGCTTCTGTGCACTTGTTCCTTGCTTCAGCTGCCTCTCCTTCCCAAAGGACCTCTTAGGAAAAAAAACCAAACCTGTGGGCTGGGGAGGGGGATGTGTTTCCATCGGCTGTCCCCTTTGGGTGTTGCCTGCCTTCATTTTGCCTGTGGCCTGTAAATAATCATCTCAGAAGTGAGAAAGCATTTGGACAAATGCAGTTACAAGCCAGCTGGGTTTTATTATATTGCAATTTTTCTGCGCCTACTACATTTCCCAACTGCCCCAAGAAACCCATGGGGCTCCAAGGACCTATACAGGAGATTGAGAGCTGTGAAGAGGCCAGCTAGTCCTTCGCTTCTTGACTAGAGGAATTCAGCACTCAGCACTGTGGATACAGCATTTCTCAAAACTCTGAGCACTGCCCATCAGCTGCTTCTGTTCTCTCTCCTAGCCGGACCCCTGGAACACCCACATCTGGAAAGGGGTCAATGGGACACCCACCAAGAAGAGGGCCATTGGCTTTAAGAAGTTAGCCAAGTAAGTACCAGTGGGCTCTGAAGAGCCCTGGAGTGTTTGGAGCTGGTTCTGGTTTTGGGCAGCTTGCTTTGCTCTGCTGTTTGATAGCACTGCCCTACAGATGTGTGCAAACTGATGGGTTGTGAGCCTGGATCTCGGGCCACTAGAGGCTTTAGCTGCCAAGAGGGACATTTGGAGAAACAGGCAGTCCTCCGGACACCCATTAGACCACCAAAAAGTGTGTGACCAGGTGAATACCAGATGTTGCATACAGTCTCTTCTCCCGAGTGGCTTCATTGCCCAGTAAGGTGGTCTTCAATGCTCAGGAATGGATCTCGCACTTCTTGGGGCTACATTGACTGTACATGTCCTTTCACAGCCTCTGGGGGCAGAGAGATCACCCGCCGCTGTTCAAGGCCATGCTGGCACAAGTGAGATGAAACTCGTGTCCATATTTCTCTTTTTCTCACTGACTCTTCAGCTACTTGAGGAGCACTTGTCTCCAGTGTGTGTCTAAATCTCCAAACACCCACTTTGCAAGGAAGGGGGAGGTAGGAATGAGGAATCTCCCTACAGGTAGCAAATGGCCAACTTGAGATTTGCACTTTATGGCCAGTTGACCCCTAGTAACGGGCCATGCAAGTCCCTCTCCCCTGCCAAAGCTCTTAGTCATCAGGAGTGTAGGAATGAAGTGTAATTTGGGCCCTTTGGCTGATCCTGGCCCAAATGCCTCTCCCGTGGGTCACTGGCAGGGAGGCTCTTGTAGGGGCTGCTCGCTCCGCAGCAGCCCTGGGCCAAGAGTGGGGAGGGCTGGGTCTGCCCCAGTATCTGTAGCCAGGCTGCCAGGTGGCCTTGTGCTGTTCACAGCATCTCCCCACGCTTCAGTTTCCCCAAGTCTCTACTATCAGTTTGTTCCCACTCTTCAGCTGTTCACCTTCTGTAAGCTATTTTCCATGGTGCATCCATAAACACGATCAGCAGCTGATGAATGTGCTCCTGGGGCTGACACTGGTGCCTGGGTCTGGGCTGCGGCCTGGGGCGGGTGGAGAGTGCAGGAAGATTAATTGAGCCATTGAGTTAGAAGAAACAATGCTTTTATTTGTGTGTGTGCGATTGATAAATGATTCTATAAAAATGTGAGCATGGCAGGTAATTTAAAAAAAAAACCTCCATTGTTCCTGATGTAGGGGAGAGGAATTATTTCTGTAATTCACCATTAATCCTGTCTGGATCTGAGCTAATCAGCTGCACAAGTGGCAGACCGAGCCCAGCAGTCCTGAGTGTTGCGCTTGACACCGGTCGCAGCACGATTCTGATGCGTGTTCAGACAGGCTGTGCTGGTTCTGGCCAAATCAGAGCGTTCAAACCTGCAGTCCCTGACTATCCTGTCCCTTCCCTCCCTTGGGGCCAGCGTGAGCCCTGGGGCCAGGGGACGCTACCGTCACAGGAAAGCAAAGGGGCAACTTCAATATGCAGAACTACGCTGAGGAGTGACTGTGTAGCAACAAATATAAATGCTCCTGAGGCTGGCTTTGACAACGAGGGGAGCTGCCTGGAGGAGGCAGAACATACCAGCCTGGTGGGCTTTCTACCTCTTCTTTCCTCCCCTTTATTTTTTTCCCCAGGTGATTTTCCAAACCTGGAGCATTTCTTCCCTCCTTGGCCAAAAGGGCAGAGGGAATCTGGGCTTCTCTACTCCTGCCAGTGTAACTAGTCCAGCTGCAATCTCCATTCCCCACAGCTCATCTGAAGTGGATGCAGGAGTCCTGCTGAACTTGATTACCCGGGGCAGGGTTTGATCACCTTGTCAAAGTGAATCAAGCAGCCCTTATTCTTACAAAGGCCACAGAGATGCTTTGTGCTCTCTCAGCCCCCCAAAACCTGCCCCTTCCCTATTACAATACACCAGGCTAAATCCAGACCTGCCTTTCTGGTGGTCCCCTCTGGCTTGATGGTCCATTTAGAACAGCTGAAGATATTCTGCACTTAGGAAAAATAATGTTGATGTGATTATGAATGGTGCTAAAATAACAAACTTGCCACACCGGGCTCTGAGTCTCATCATGCAACCCAAAGCTGGCTGGTGACAGCCTCCCTTGTCCCCCACCACTGTGCTCACGCAGATGCCAACCCAGCCAGCAGCACTAACACAGACAAGGAGCCAGCGTTTCCAGCTCTGCATCACCTTGGCCAGGATTAAAGAGGCTGGTGACCTCTCAGGGACCCTCTGCCCTGCTGTCAGAGCTGAGCCAGTGGGGAAAACTGGAGCAAATGCATTCAGTCACGATTGCAGTCACAGGAGGCAGCCGGCTAGACACAGCCCTGCAAATGCTCAAATAAATGTGCAACCTCTCAGCCTCAGGAGGGCTGTTCCTCTGAGTAAAGTTCATAGTGTCACTGGAGTACAAATCAAAGGGACTACAGACAGCTTTGTCTGACCTTCTCAGTGTCTCAGGGCTTTGTGTGTGATGCGTGGAGGCCAGGCGCTTCTGCTCGGCTAGGACACCTCCTGCAGAAAGGCAGCCAGGTGGGATTTAAAGACATGAAGAGATGGAGCAGCCACTGCTCCTCCTGTAGCTTGGTCTCTGCTTGGTCTCCAGCTTTTCCTTTGAGGTTATCTGGTCACTGCTACCAGTGACTGCTGCCCCTCATTCTTTTTCCTCTTCTCTGTCCACACAGAAGGAGCACCTCCACACTTGGTTTAGCATTTTCCTCCCTATACCCATTCAGGTACATAACTCTGACTTCAAGCCCTCCCCATCTAGTCTTCCTCTCTGACAAGTGAAGACAGATAGACTCTTCCATAGCTTCCCTGTTTGGCATATAACATATATATTTGCTGCAGTTTTTAAGACAGGTTGTTCGTTTAATAATAAATAAAATGGTGTGAATAGTCTGGGCTAGAGGCACTGACAAGGAAACAAGCTCTCTTACTGAGATTTATTCTTGCTTCCTAGAGCTGTGAAGTTCTCAGCCAAGCTGATGGGACAGGCCATGGCCAAGAGGGTCAAAGCAACCATCCTGTACGCCACTGAAACAGGAAAGTCGCAGGTCTATGCAAAAACTCTGTGTGAAATCTTCAAGCACGCTTTTGATGCTAAGGTATTGTACCAGCTCCCAACCCCTGCAAGATCATGTGCACGTCTGGGTGGTCCCAAGGCTGTTGGAAAATATGTGGCTCAATGCATGTGGAGCTTCCCAGCTGCCAAGAGTCTTCAGGAGCTCCCAGGATATTACCTTGTGGATCTGGATTGAAGCCTGCGCAGGAATTTTTCCAGATCATTTTCAGCTAATACTCCTGCAGGCTTTGTAGCATACATATGTCTACTGCTTCTCAGGTGGTAGCCCTATGGTTTGTCCATGTCCTCTGAGGGTCTTACTCTTGTTCTCCCTGTCTGGAGATCTCTGCTAGTGCACTGGCATGCAGTCAGCAAGGTTATGCTGCTCCCATCCCCAGGTAGACTGGGGTCCACCCCAGGAGACTGCCCGGTAGTAGATCTCCCCACCAAAGACCTCTTGCTAACAGCTCTGTCACTCCCAGGTGATGTCCATGGACGAGTATGACATTGTACACCTAGAGCATGAAACCATGGTGCTGGTGGTCACAAGCACCTTTGGCAATGGAGACCCGCCTGAGAACGGAGAGGTAGGACAGGGCGCAGGGGCGGGTGGCTGCAGCAGGGACGTGGGCAGGGGACAGGCAGTGGGGAACGGGGAGCAGAGTCCTCTTTTTCCTCACCCTGAGCTGGAAAGGCCCCAAACGGGTCTGGGTGCTGTGTGGTACCTGGTGCTGTGCCCGCCTGCCTCCAGCCTGCTCTGAAATAGGGCAATCTTCTTATTCCCTGCTGTGAGACAAGTAACTAATCCGTTGCTAAATTCACCCCGTACAACCAGTGTCAGTGTCAGTGTCACACAAAAAGTGCCAGCCCCTTGGCTGGGGAGCTGCGACCCCGTGCAGCCCCGTACAACAGCATTGCCGGCTGCTGGGAACAGCAAGCGGAGAGCAGAGCTGCAGCCCAGGCTTTGGTCACTGCTTCTTTTCCTGCAGAGACTGGCAAAACTGATGGCCTTTTTCATTTCTTCTCTGTAGAAATTTGGCTGCGCATTAATGGAGATGAAGAATCCCAACTCCAACCTGGAGGAGAGGAAGTAAGAGCACTCTCCTTTCCCACTCGCAACCCCAGCAAGCAGGCAGCCCCGCAGCTGGGACAGCCTGCTTCTTTGCTTTCCTCCTCTCAGAGGGCAGTGGGAAATCCCCACACAGGGTTCAAGTTTTCAAAGGACCGAGGGATGGGACTTGGATTCAGGGGATGGAGCAGGCAGAGGTCCCAAAGAGGACAAAAACACTGAGTCAAACATGCCTGTGGACTCCAGCTTGTAATTCCCTTGGCTGGCATTTTAAAGTTTCTCTTTTCAGCTGTAAGAGGCATGCATCTATGAAAAAAAAAAAAAAAACAACCAACCAACCAAACAAAAAAACCATAAATATAAGCAGGAATTCCCCCAAAATCATCAAATCCAAGAGCTGGGGCTGTCCAGGAGACACCAAAGTAGTAAGACTTGGAGGTAGAAGGGAGTTCCCAGCTATGTGGGTGTAGGTGGGGGAGGATTTGAGAACCAAATTTAACTTCTTGCATCATCTGAAAATATTTCTCAGGAAAAGAAGAGTTGTCATGAATTCTGGCTGTGATGTTTGCAACAGTGAGTCGGGAACTGGTAGCTTAGAGACAGGGTCTGGGGTTTTAGAAAATCCTCCGTCGGTGGAAGATGAGCCTCCAGCATCTTGTTGCATGTCCCAGAGGCTGGGAAGTGAGGGCAGCCGGCAAAGTGTTAATCATTTGGGGCCTCCTCTTATTTCAGCCATTAAACACAATATATTTTGTTTAACTGGGACACTGCTCTGGAGCCTCTCCTGAGTTAACACAGTGATGCTCACAACTGGCAAAATGCCACTCCTTAATTAAGGGAGAATCAGCACTGGCCAGTGGTACAGTGCGATTTAACCGCCCTAACTTTCTGCTTGAGCAGTGCGGAGCAGTGCTGGTGGGGCTGCAGAGTGGTGACAAACACTGCTGGGCAGGGCAGGGACGGGTTTGTACCTCAGCAGCCCCGGAGTGGTCTCCTTGCTTGTGCACCAAGTCATCTGGTGGATCCCCGTGGGGCTCGCCAGCCGAAACCCCATTGGGTTTCTAATGGTCCCGTGCTTTAATGGGGACAGCTTACAAAACCGGACACGCGGGCTGCCCTGGAGGTGTCCGGGTGAAGAAGGGGCATTTAGCATGTTGTTCTCACCCCAAGGATCTTCACTGTTCGGGGCTGGGCTGGTGCAACACTGGGTTGGGTGTAGAGGTGCTACCCGTGGCAAGCCAGGCAGATTTGAGAAGTGCAAAAGCACCTGATCTCGGTGCTGGCTGACCCAGTCACCTCTAAATGTAATTTAAGGGACTGGCAGGAGTTTCTAAGAGCCAGGACAGCCTGTGGCTTGGTTACCTGACAGCAAAAGTGGTCAGAGTGCTGGAAACAGCAGTCTGTGAGGACAGATCAAAAGGGTGAGAGCTATTTTATCTGGAGAAGATGAGACAAAAATGTAGTGTGGTAGCAGACTTCACATATGGAAAAGGTGACTGCAGAGGCAGAGGGAATAAATTACTCCCCGTGGCCCCCCTGGGACAGGGCAAGAGGTCATGGCTCTGTTGGTAGGAAGAGATCCTGATATTAAGCTTGAAAAAAAGCTTTTGCAATGAGAAAAGGCATCCTGGAGGAGACTGTCTAGGGAAGAGGAGCAAAGTCAGCCTGGTATCTGTAGGAAAGGGCTGAAGAAAACAGCTCCTGCTCATGTACCCCATGGGCTCCCAGCTCCATGCTGAGGGTGGCTGAGACCCCCCCAGGACAGGAGTCAGCAGCCTCTAAGCCACAGTGTCTCGAGGAGCCTGCCAGGGTGCTGTGCCCATGGCTTTCTGACCACAGCTCAGAGGTTTTGCTGCGGTTATATACTTGGATCCTTGTGTCCAACGGCAAGGGTTTTCCAAGGGTTCTCAGAGGCATTCATAATCCTGCCATATTTAAGGACCCACTGTTCAAATGCAGCCCACCTTTCAACAGTCATCCCCTGCCACAAGGATGTATTCATTCCAGCAAGAGCTGCTGGTGCCCCGACTTTGTGCCCAACACCCGAGTGGGGAATTTGGGCTGCAGACCCATCTAAACCAGTGGGCTGTGCTGCCCTGCCTTCTCCACATAACCCAGGGTGAGGACATGGCCCCAGGACAGCAGAGAAAGAAGTGGCACCATCCAGATGGAGTGAAGCAGAAGAGCATGAGAGGTCTGGGCAGAAAGGAGGAGGCTCTGGAGCAGAGGTGGAGCACAGGGCGCTACGACCTGCCAGTTATGTTGCTCAGGGGTTGTCTCCTCTGCGCAGTGTGCTGGGTGCAGGAGGTCTGCTGTGACTCATCCCCACTACTGCTTCATTGCTCTGGCAGTATATTTAGAAACTCTTGTGTAGAGCAATTTTTGAAGATGGTTCAATTCAGAAATACTTCTGCTGTTGTCAGATTTTTTTTCTCCGCTCCCCTTCCCCCTCCTCAGCCCCTCTTCTCTCACTCCTTTTTTTTTTTTTTTTTTTTTTTTTTACTTCCTATGAATGAAAAATCCTTCAGAATATCTGTTCAGACATATACCCGACCTTGTGTGCAGCCAAGGAAGGACAGGTAAAGCCAAAGATCCTGTCAGCTCTGCACTGCTGGGGACAGTGTGGTGGCCAACACCTGGATCGAGCCACTGGGAGATGACTGGAGGATTTCATGGAGCAGACTGGGTCCAGCTGGGGGAATGCATCATTAGGGCTGCTATGTCTTAACCTTGGGAGGGAGCACTTTTCTCTGCTGTAGCCACTGATCATGGTGCCTGTTCATGGGATATTATGCCCTGAGCTCCGGTTCGGTCTCCTCCACAATCTGGTCCCTTCTGAGCGCGCAGCCCGGTGGGAACCACCCACACATTTTTCACCACTCTTACTACTTGATGCTGTTGCTGTTCACAGGAGCTACAAGGTCCGTTTCAACAGTGTCTCCTCTTACTCGGATGCACGGAAATCCTCAAGCGACGGCCCTGACTCCAGGGACAACTTTGAAAGCACGGGGCCCCTGGCTAATGTCAGGTAACTAGGATGGGGTGGGAGGCAACAATTTCTTGCAGAAGGCACAGCGCGGGAGCTGGCGCTGCACAGAGCCCCTTTCTCCTACCACAGCTTCCTCTTTCTGAAAATGTGATGTATTTTTGCAACGTGCAGATCCCTCAAGCTGGTGTTGGCCGTGGTGGTGCAGGAGGGGGAGATGTCAGTGTCCCTCCCAGCTCGGAAGCCACAGCTGTGTCACCTCTCCGCAGGTTCTCCGTCTTTGGGCTGGGCTCACGTGCTTACCCCCATTTCTGCGCCTTTGCCCGGGCAGTGGACACCCTCCTGGAGGAGCTGGGTGGAGAGAGGATCCTCCGCATGGGAGAAGGGGATGAGCTCTGTGGCCAAGAGGAGTCCTTCAGGACCTGGGCCAAGAAGGTCTTCAAGGTAACCCGCTTCCCTTGTGCTCCAGGGAGGAGCAGGGGGGAGAAGGACACAGGGACAAAGCAAAGCTGCTAGTTAGAGCTGGAGCAAAACCCAGCCTCTCCTTCCCTACGCCGGGACAGCCAGCCATCACCCCAGCCCTCCGTAAAGTGGTTCTCCATATTTTGGTGGGGACGATGCTCTGGTTTGTGCTGACTGCCAAAAGGGTGAGCACCGTGTTGAATTCCTGCATTATCCCAGATGCCTGGGGAAGGAGGGCACCACTAGACACGCTCATGGCTACTGGTACAGCCCTGCACCTTTGAGGGCTCCTTCTCCATGTGTTGGCTGAGGTGGGGTGGGAGAAGGGGGGGGGTCCTGGGGCTCAGTCAGAAAGCCCAGGGGCAGCGGCGAGATGCCTGAGAGCCTGGTGCGTGCTGCAGGCAGCGTGTGACGTGTTCTGCGTGGGGGACGACGTCAACATCGAGAAAGCAAACAACTCCCTCATCAGCAATGACCGGAGCTGGAAGAGGAGCAAGTTTCGCCTGACCTACGTGGCTGAGGCCCCGGAGCTCACACAAGGTATGAAGACGGGGTCACCAAGGAGGGCTCTGTGTGTGGGGCGGGTGGAGGAGAAGATATAGTGGTCTCAAGTGGGGGCAAAGGGGACAAACCTCCTTACTTTGTGTTAAATTCCCAGCATTTCACTCTTGCCTTTCCCCGCCCCCATCACATGCCCAAGGAACAGTCTGTGATGGTCTTCGGCCCCTCTGGCTGGTCCCTGTTTGTGTCTGTAACAGAGATGTTGGGATATGATCTGATCTCCCTCCTCTCGACCCCATTTTTCGAAGCAAAGAGCTGGGAACCTGGGAGCTTTCCAAGCTCTCTTTGTCCAAATGCCGCTCCACCGAGCGTTGCGGTGCAATGGCAGGTCCAGCCCACCGACACCTGGCCCCTCAGCACGGCTCCTGCAGCTGAGGATCTGCCGCCCTGGCTTAGCTCTTCCCAAATTTACTACCAGCCAGGTGGTACTGGCAGCGAGACGTGCATGCCTGCACATGAGGGCATGTCCTCACGCCTCGTGTGAGTGGTTTCAGAGTCCTCCTCAGTCACTAACCAGAGGGACACACACGTGTTTGGTTCCTCCCTGGGGTTCCTGACCCCACAGGCTCGCTGAAGCTTGGCAGGAGATGGGAGCAGGAGGGTGGTCGGGCCCACAGTCTGCTCGCTGCAGTTGGCGTCAGCCAGTTCCAGTCTGAAGGGCTGAACCCGCAGCGACGACCAACAGCCCTGCAAAAGCCAGAAGCCGCCCGCCTTGGCCACGCTCTGCTGTGTTGCCTCACCGACTCTTCTCTCCTGCAGGACTGTACAGCATCCACAAAAAACGCGTCTACGCAGCCCGGCTTATCACACGCCAGAATCTGCAGAGCCCAAAGTCCAGGTAGGAGATGCAGCTGTCCTGGGAGCTGCGGGAGCCGAACGCACCCAAGCATCTGTGCATGCAGTGCTGCAAATATCCCTTGCCCCCTGAATGTCCCGTGGATACCATCTCTGGGCAAAGTATGACCGAGGCTGGAAGCCACATGAACCCAGGGAAGGGTGTTCCCTGCCTTCTTACACAGTGAAATCTCTGCTGCTATGTAAATTAGCCTGCTGCCTGTAAGGATGAGAAGATGGGTGGTCACACTTGTGGAGCAGTGGGGTGCATGCAGAGAAAGGATGAAATTGCTGAAGCAAGAGGTTAAACTGTTTTTTCCCTTTTCAGAAGTCCCCGAGGGTGAGTCAGCGGTGCAGGGAAGCGAGCGCTGCAATGTCCTTTCTAGCTCTGCTGTGACTTTGGTGGCTGCTCTGTGGGGCACCAGGGCTTGGACATGCCACCGCTACACAGCACACCCAGCAGCTCTTGAGGCCAGAGCTCAGCACCTCCCTGGAGGACTCCCCCAAAACACATCCTGCTTTTTCTCCTTTCCCTGTAGCCGCCTGACGATTTTCCTGCGCCTCCACACCGACGGACACCAGGAACTGCAGTACCTGCCTGGGGACCACTTGGGTGTGTTTCCAGGGAACCACGAAGACTTGGTCAATGCCCTGATCGACAGGCTTGAAGATGCCCCTCCAGCCAACCAGCTGGTGAAGGTGGAGCTCCTGGAGGAGAGGAACACAGCTCTAGGTAACCAGGGTCACCTCAGCGTAGAAGTGGCCTCTCTCCTCCTGGCCCATCCCCTGTAGCAGTTCTTGTAGCTCCTCAGGGAGGTAGATGGCCCCCGGGAGAAGTCATTTCCCATCTCACTGCTGTGTTTGCATGGATTGAGAGTGCCTTCTTCAACCTTCTGCTGCCCAGAGCTGTTGCTCATCTGCCCTTGGGCTGGAGAGCAAGGGTTTGAAGGGTGAGCGGGGCCCTGGGGAAGGTATTTCCTTATTCTTCAGAAAAATTAAAGGTGTTTTTATTCTCATGGAAAAGGCAATGTGTAGGACTGGAAAGAAGAGTTAAGGGATCTTGATGGACGTTCCCAACAAATAAGTCTGATACCCTACTGCCACGCACAGTGTAACAGGAAATGGAAAACGGTATTAAACTCGGTGATGGAGGCTGAAGGTGGTGGAGTATCAGACTCATATTTGCGCTCATTGTACAACATCTCACTTGTGGCATGAGGATATCTCACTGACTCTTCTTTCCAGCTCTTCATCATTCACTGTCGCAGAGCTGATAAGGGAACGAAAGCAGGGATTTGTCCACCTTGGCTCTTATGCTCAGCTGACCCCATGGTTGTGCTAAATTCCCTCCTGGCAGGTGTCATCAGTAACTGGACAGACGAGAACCGTGTCCCACCATGCACCATCTTCCAGGCTTTTAAGTACTATTTGGACATCACCACCCCTCCCACACCCCTGTTGCTGCAGCAGTTTGCTTTGTTGGCCACCAGTGACAAGGAGAAGAAACGTCTGCAGGTCCTTAGCAAGGTAAAGCCTCAAACCCCAATCCCCAAGTTCTTCAAGGCTCTGGGGAAAACCACAACCCCAAGGCACTTTCATCCCACACTGTGGTTAGGCTGAGTCCCCGCCCGTGACAGCAGAGCTCCTCCTGCCTCCTTCAGTGCCACCCGCCCCAGCTTTGCCATGCGATATTGGTGGGATATTGGTTGAGACCTGGCTTGGCAGAGCTCGACGCTGCAGCTCTCTCCTCCCTCCCTCTTTCCCTGGCTGCAGGGCTTGCAGGAGTACGAGGAATGGAAGTGGTTCAAAAATCCCACCATTGTGGAGGTGCTGGAGGAGTTCCCCTCAGTGCAGATGCCCTCCACGCTGCTGCTCACACAGCTCCCCCTCCTCCAACCACGCTACTACTCCATCAGTTCCTCCCCAGAGATGTACCCAGGCGAGGTCCACCTCACCGTGGCAGTGGTCTCCTACCGCACAAGAGGTACCATGTTCACACAGGGGTCGGTGGAGACGGGCTTGGTGTGGGGAGCAGGGGACAAGCATTAGCACCTGGGCAACACCACAAGGTCTTTGGCAGAGAGATGTTACTTTAAAGCCTTTCTACCTGCTGCAGTGACTAGATTCCTTCAACCCATGACACTGCTGTCCCATGCTATGGAGAACGGCCATCCAGCAAAGGGCAGTGTATTGCGGAGATGCCAGATCTGGATCAGGTACCAGCAACAGACTAGTCACGGCAGCTCCAAGCTCCGTGTGGGATTATGTTTGCCCACACCAAAGTCCACATTGCTACAACTAGCCAAATATCTGTACCTATACAAGCACTGATGTGTCCAAGCAGCCATGGTCATGGTGTCAACGGACACAGCCCCGGAACCCCTGCAGCAGGTAGGACACAGAGGAAGACACTGGCCATTCTTCTGGGGCTGCCATGGAGAGCTTGTGCCTGGAAGCATCACAGCATGATGCTGCTTCTGCCAAAAGGGACCAAAGAGAAGTTGGGTGCTTCCTAAGTATCGTGGAGGCCCAGCTATCCCGGGGCTGGGCCCTGGGTGAAGTTGGGTAGCTCCACAGAGGGCTCCAAGTGCCAGACTTCTACCATGTTCATGGAGAATGAATGCGGAGATACTAAAAGTTTCAGAGAGATGTTCATGTGGGATGTAGCAGGGAGGGTTTCAGAAAGGAAAGCAACTGGAGCAGTTGGCTGGTGTGCCAGGTACAGACCTCCTTCCCTCCCCTCCTAGATGGCGAAGGACCAATCCACCATGGAGTCTGCTCCTCTTGGCTCAGTCGGATACAGACCGATGAAGTAGTGCCCTGTTTCGTAAGAGGGTAAGTGGTCCACGCAGGGCAAGAGTTGAAAAAGATGGGGTGAGCCCTCTTGTAGGATGAGCTCTTGGCTCTCAGTTCTTCTTTGCAAAGCACTAAGGGTGCAGAGAAAACAAGGATGGATTTGCGAGCAAATGGGTCCCTCTCGGGTGCAGTTCTTCCGCACTGAAATGTTGCTCTCCAGGATTTCACCTTGTTTTCTACCCCTCCCTCTCTGGGTAGTGTCTCTGCTGTGGGCAGAGACAAGGGAGGGAGCACCCTGCTTGGGTTTAACTGGCGTCTTCCATGTGTGCAGTGCGCCCGGGTTCCACCTGCCCCAGGATCCCCAGGTGCCCTGCATCCTCATCGGCCCCGGCACCGGCATCGCCCCTTTCCGGAGCTTCTGGCAGCAGCGGCTTTTTGAAATCCAGCACAAAGGTGGGTGAATGCTTGTTCCTCCTGTTTCTCATCTCAGGCAGTGCTTGGGAACCCTGGGCTGGTGGCGTGGGGAGGGGGGAGGCCAGTCTCCTGCCCAGGCTGCCCCAGAAGGCAAAGGGCTCCTCAAAGCACCGGCTGTCCCAAGTGCAGGCTTGGAAGTCAGCCCAAACTCCCAAAACAAACTCCATGAAATTCCTCCTGTTAAATTTTGCAAGTTTTTATGGCAGAACTGTAGCACTGGCATTGTTTCTATGCACAATATATATTTTTCACTGATCATTTACATTATTTAGGAAAAAAAAAAGTTTAATTTTTCCCCCAAACTTGGCACAAGTGCCCCTGCTGTGTGACCTGGGGCCATGCACTGGCTCAGGCAGTACATTACCTCCTCCTTGCTGGTTTTTCCTGCCTCCCAGTTTGGCCAGGGAAGGCTTCTGGCAGTCTTGTGCAGGGTACTGGGGCTGCTGGCAGATCTGGAAGGAGGTGGCTTGCAGAAAGGGGGTATCAGTGGTCCCCAGGCTAACCGCTGATCTCTCCCCCAGGTCTGAAGCCTTGTCCTATGGTCCTGGTGTTTGGCTGCCGGCAGTCCAGGATCGACCACATTTACAAAGAGGAGACGCTCTTTGCCAAAACCCAAGGTGTCTTCAGAGAGCTGTACACAGCCTACTCCCGGGAACCGGACAAACCAAAGGTCCGTGGTGGGCACAGCTCCGGTCCCGCTGCGCAGCCCTGGGCGGCCGTGGCCAGCCGGCATGGTGTGGAGATGCCAGTTCCTTGGCACAGCCATGGTGGCTCATTCCCTGGGGTGCTCTGGTGGCATAAGTGTGCCGGATCGTGCCCTTCCCAGTGCAGCCCTGTTCCCAGGGCACATCCCCAACCCCACACCAGCTTGAAAGTGTGCCCCCATTGCTCGTGCTTTGCCCTGGGGGGCTGCACCCATCCTCACCGGGCAGGAGCAGATGAGGAGGGGAAAGGCACATCTTCCCAAGCAGATGGGCAAGGAGGGATGTCACCCGGGGCGGGTGGCCCAGAGCCAGCGCAAACATCTGGTCCATATTGCTACTGCCACCAGAGCAAGGCTGGCATCTGGTGAAGGTGTGAAAATGCAAGAGTAAAACGATGCTTTGCTGCTTTCCCCATCTCTTTTCTAACGTTGTGGGTGCTGCGAGGTGCAGGCTTGCTCCTCAAAGGCAGCTGGTGCACACAAAACTGGCTGGAGAGTGCAAGTGGATAGGGCTGAGAAGCCGTAGGTTAATCTCAGCTCCCACCTCCTCCTCCCTCAGAAATACGTGCAGGACGTGTTACAGGAGCAGCTGGCCCAAACCGTGTTCAAAGCACTGAAGGAGCAGGGAGGCCACGTCTATGTCTGCGGGGATGTCACCATGGCCGGGGACGTCCTCAAGACCATCCAGCGCATCGTGAGGCAGCAGGGCCAGCTGTCGGTGGAGGAGGCAGGCGCCTTCCTCAGCAAGCTGCGGGTGAGTCGCGTCTGCACCCCGAGACACCACGCGAGCTCCTGCCACGGGCGCTGCACCTGGTGCCTCCTCCTGCAGAACAGGCAGCGCCGAGGTGACGGGTGCGGAGGGGGGGGGGATTGCGGCTCCCACCCACTCTGCCTGCACCCGGGCAAGGTCAGGAGCGTGAGCTTCCAAAGCTCTGGGTGCGCAGGGGAACTCACCTTGCTCCTCAGGAGCTCTGCTCCAGGCTGCAGCCCCCTCAGCTCCCGTGATGAGCCTGCGGCTGTGCCGAACACCAGTGCAAGCTTTCTGGGGCACCCCCGGTAGCCTAGACAGGGCTTGCTCACCTGGTTAAGTGTCCCCGCTGTCTCTCCATCATTGCTGCAAGCTAACAGGGCAGATTGTGGGTCTCTCTCCCAAAATTTCCTCTGGCCGTAGGGCTGGCTGGATGCTGCCCCTGAGCAAACACATTGCTGCAGATGTTGCATCCGAGGAAGGATGCTCAAACAGCTCTGCTTCTGCTCCAGAGGACAACGCAGCTCAATTCCTGCAGGACTATCCCTTCTGAACCATGGCCACACGCTCCATCCAGGAGCTGAGGGAGCGCAGAGCCACGTTTTTAGCTGGTTTGCAAGCGAAATCTCTCATACACGGGTAGCCTCGGGCTACTTGTGCCCTCGACGGCCAGGGTTGCCAGCAGTTGAGGAGGTGTGATGCACCGAGCAGCTCTGCCACTGCCCCAGAGTGTGACCTTGGGAAGGTCATTTCACCTCCCTGCTTGTTCCTGCCCCTCTGCCCTGCCTGTCCCACTAGCTCTTGTGACAGATTCTGGAACATTTGTTGTGTATTTGCTACCTACCAACAACACGAGAGCTTTCTGGTGCTGCAGCAACACCAACTGTTTGTAAATACTCTTTTTTTCCCACTGCCCCTCTCCCATCCTCTGTTTCAGGATGACAGCCGGTACCATGAGGATATTTTTGGAGTCACCCTGCGTACGTACGAAGTGACTAACCGCCTTAGATCCGAGTCTATTGCATTCATTGAGGAGAGCAAAAAGGATACGGATGAGTGAGTTGACATGTTTATTTTAACCCCTGCAATCATCTCCCAAGCACGTGGGCTGCGGGGTGGGAAAGGGAGCTTTAACTTTGGCACACGTGGTCCTTTTCATAACAAAAGCTGAGAAAAGGCATTTGATTTTTTGCACTGGAAGCAGAGGTTGCTGCCTGGCAGTCTCTCTGAAATAGTGTCACCTCGTTAGGACAAATCCCTCCCCGGCCTTCCCAGGTTATTGCACCCATTGTGCCAAGGTGCTCAGACCTGACAGTCCCACCCAGACGGTGATGCAGAGCACAGGAGTCCTGCCCACCGCCTGCCTCTGCTCCCTGCCAGCGACCCGAGGCGAGGGGTGGCTCTCCCCAGCTCCAGTGCCGGCTGCGGGGGGGCCTGGCCAGCTCCGGGGGTGCAGGCAACCAGTACTCCCAGTGGGAGAGGTCTCCAGGCTGCTGCACACCCAGTTAGGGAAGATCTAGAGACTTTTCTTTCCACTGCTGTAAAAACTACCACAAGAAGTAAAAAAAACCTTGACATTTGCTGTGTTTGTTTCTGCTCTCCCGTGTCCTGCCATTTGCTCAGCTCTGTCACGGTGGGATTTTCCCTGGCTGAGCGGGATTATTTAGGGTAAAGGATGGGCAGCTGCATGGGTCCTGCTCCTTGTCCTGGTGCTCAGCAGCCTCAGGTGCACAATCCCTTCCCTGCACTCCTGTGCCGTGTAGTGCCTGGCTGACCTGGAGTGGCTTTCACGACGTCCCTGAGGTTTGGTAGGAATTTTTCTCCAACGCAGCACATACTCTGGGGTCTGCACTGCCTACAGAGCCCCTCAGTTGCCCACCTCTAGGTAGGGATAAGGGTTACCTACCTGCCCACCTCACCCAGCTGCAAAGGGGTCTGTAAATTCCTTTCTACAACATGATCGCTTGGAAAGTCCTCAGTCAGAGTGCTCAGATGCTCCTCTCTGCTCCCTCTAAGGCTGGCCTTTCTCCCCTTTCCCTTGCAGGGTTTTCTCCTCCTAACCGGACCCTTCACCCCACGGGGATGCCAAACCAGTCCCAGCACCTGCTGCCCCCTCCAGCCGGAGGGCACTGGGTTTTGTATTTCACGGACACGGTGGCTCCTTTTCCACGGGGAACTGCCCATGGAAAGCGCTCTGCCTCTCGTCCTGTTGTTGTGTCCTGATGATGATAATGATGATGATTTTTATTTCCTTTTCTTTCTCTTTCTCCTGCTCTTGTCCTGTGGCCATTTCTTTTCACCCCCTTTCCTTTCCCTGGATTTCCCCACTGAAGTATGATGGCTTTATAACCTGCAGTGGCTCTTAACAGAACTTCACACATCTCCCTCTTCTCATGAGGGCATTTTGCAGCTGCATGAAATCACCACCTTTGTGATCATCTGCATTTTTGGTGTTTTGGGGGACAGCAGAGCTGGCAGGGGACTGGGCAATGGCTAGGTCTTGTCACTTGACCAGGGCTGGGGGTTGTTCCCCCAGGCTCGCCCTTTCCCCAGCTTGGGGCTTGGCTGAATCCTTGCATTTTCATGGCTTTCCTTTGGACTTGTACAGACCTGGGCATATGCCCGAGGCTGGGGGCAGTTGATGTGCACTGCCCTCATGCCTATGAACTTTGTTCATCCCCAAGCAGCCTTGGTACAAATGTGTCTGTTTTGATCTGAAGGGTGAAATGTCTCTGATTCATGTGTCATGATTACTCCTAAATTGACTCTGCACTGTATTTGCCTCCCTCTCTGCTCCCTGTTCCCCATGAGCCTCTCCTTTTGCTCAATCCCCACTTTTGCCGGCATGAAAGTCCTCCCACAGAGGAGCAAGCACCTAACACACAAGCCAATGTGTATGCTAGGGAAAAACTCATGGCAATGACTGCTGCTTGGCCAGGCTGTCCTCCGGAGGGCTTTACAGGAGATCTGCAGCCATGAATCTGGTGGGACAGACTGAGGGACTGGCTGCGTTGCAGAGCTTTGCATGCTGTGAACGTGTGAACCCTCTCCCGGGTGAGACTGGAAAGCCACGTGGATGGGAGAGAAGCGGCTCCAGCCCCAGCTGCAAGAGGCACCTCCTGGTAACAAAGCCTCTTTGGAAGACAGCACTTGGAGGGTTACGGAGGCTCCTGGTCCTTGGCGAGGATGTGCTGACTGAGGACTCTTGAAAGCCCGGTGAGCATCAGCTCCACCTTAGTGCAGACTCATGAGCAGTCCTGGGACAGCTGACCCCAGCCACTTCCACACCTTTGGGAGCAGAAAGTGCCAGCACGGAGCGATCTGCCTGCCAAGAGAAATACATGTGGTGTCTTGGTGGCAAGCCAGTCCCCTCTGTAGGCTCTGCGCTACCTGCCAGCAGCACGAGCTGTCTCTGCCGGGACATCTCATGCGAGAAGGGACGTGAGATCGGCTGCAAAGATGCTGCGGGATTCTGGGCTCTGACACGCTCACACCTCAGCCCTGCTGCAAAAATCCGGCCCCAAAAGCAATTTGTTAACACGATCTCAGAAAGGTATCAGTCCTTTTAACAGAGAAAAGCTGTCTGCAAGGTAAAGCATACGTGACCTTGTGTGTCCTTCCTCCTTCTCCCTTCCTCACCCTGAAGAAGGTTTGTCCTCCCTCACTGCCAGGACGAGGGCAGCAGGGCATGGCTGCAGCTCTTGCTGGAGGCAGGGATGCAGGGTTGACGTTTTGAGCTGGTAGATGCTGATCCTTTCCTCCTGCCCCTCCTCTGCTGAACAGTGCACTGATGCTTGTATGGAGCAAAGCACCTGTGCCAGCGACAGCAGAGGATTTGTCCAGGAGCTGTTTTCAGAGAGCTAACATTAACTGCCCTAAGCCAAAGGTGGAACAAAAAGAGCTGCAGGAGGTTTGCTGCTCTCCCAGTCCATGGTACAAGCTTTGCTGGTTCCCCTTGGCCCCAGGCTGTGCAGTTATCTCCACCCTCAGCCAGGAGCTCCTGCCCTTTCCCGCTGCTTGGCTGGCCACGTCCCCACGTGCTGTGACCATCTTCTGCAGCTTTGACTCCCTGAAGCAGCTCCAGCTCCAAATCCAGGAGCAAAAGGCCTCAGAGGCACTGGGAGAATTTGAGATCCAGGTCTCAGGTTTGCTGGTCCCCAGCAGAGCATCTAGCGTGGCGTAAAATGCGAATGAATGCTGCCACGGTGTGGCCAGAGCTCAGCTTGCTGGGCTGGCAGAGCGGCCAGTGCAGGGCTGGGAATCGGGTGCAAGGCTGGGTTTGTGTCACTGCCTGGGGACTTTGTGACCTGGAGGTGAAAGCAGGAGAGGACAGGAAAAAGGGCAGCCCATGGTCCACCTCTGTGGGTTGTGCCCTAATCCCAAGGCAGGCAGCGGGATGGGGGAGCTGGGTCCCTTTGCTGCTGTGATGTGTGAATTTGGGCAAAGATCCTGTCTGTGGAGAACAACTCCCTGGCCCTAGAGCTGTGACCAGACAACAGTCCTGGCCCTAACTCCCAATCCTACGGCTGCAGAAATAGAGCTAAAGTTAAAAAAAAAAAATCAAACTCCCCTTCTTTTGGGAAATTTGATTCTGCCTCTAGACTTTGTGCTCTGGTCCTCTGTTTAGCAGAAGGAGTGATGCAACCTGAAGAGGAAGTAGTGCCCAGAGAAATGCCCTTGTCTTCGTCCTCTTTCCAGCTCATCCTGTGTTGCTGGCATTTAGTTTTCTCCTGTCCTGCCTTCTGCCTGTATTGCTATAACATCTCCCATCTGGAAGACATATTGCTGCTGGAGCCTGTGTCTGAGCTGAATTGGCTGGCTTTTCCTGCACCCCAAAACTTGCTGCCTCCATCTCCCCCTTCCACCTGAGCCGCCAGTGAAAACAGCGGGCAAGCGCAGCCAAGAAGGGAACGGGGTGCGTGCCTTGCCTTCGGTGGGATCTCCAAAGGGGTCTGTGCCAGGCAGACAGCCAAAGCCATTTCAAATTCAACAGGCATCGGGCAGGTGAGTCCTTCAGAGCCCTTTGGAAGGGAAATGCTGGTTTAAGGCCTGCCTCCCTGCCTGCCCCTGGAGAAGAAACACCCTCCCTGCCGTGAAGGTCCACAAAGCTAATACGTCCCCCAGGGCTCTGAGCTGCCTCTCTGCTCCCTCTGCCTGAGTAGGACCGTTTGCTCCTCACAAGCTGCACCACTGGGAATTTTGATTCACTGTTTTTTTGTTGAGTCAGCCTCAGGCTTCTTAACTTCTCCATCCTCCTTACCTGCAGGGACTTCGCGCTCCCCTCAAGCTTAATTTTCTCCCGCAGTGAAGGGGAAATAAACTTGTGGATCTGCGTTATCATTCCACAAATGTGGTTCTTCCACCAGTTGTCTAGACTCTGCTCATCTCAGTGTGACATTTCTGACGCGTGGGTGTAGCCGCAGTATCTCCAGCATGCATAAACGGCAGCGAGCGAGGCCATGAGCTGCCCAGGGGTGTTATCCACGGAGGGGTTGTGCCTCTTGGGCACTCGGTTCACAAATCTGTCACCTCTGGGTGCCTGCTGCCCATCCAGGATCCTGCACAGCCCCACATGGCTCCTGCGGCGAGGGCTACTGGACCTGATGGGACACCCAGCCGGATCCGGTGTCCCCATCCCTCTCCTGGCAGATGTCCACCACCACCACTGCCTGATTTGAGCATCTCTGCTCTTTTTCGCTCCCCAGGTATTAAAAATAAAGAGGCTCTTCTCTAAACAGAAGATTTGAGTTTCGAGACACCATGAAGTGAGGGGTTTTGCAAAGGTCTTTCAAATGTCCACAGAAAGCTATTATGTGAACTTGAAAACTCATGGGAAACAGTCCTCTGTTTTCGCAACCTACTGTGCCTGCTAGCAGCAAAAAATAAGTTGTTCGTTCAGTGCAAGGTTATCTACTGCCTGTGTTGCTGATGACTTCAAAGGTTTCATCTCCCCAGAAGGACTGCCTGAGAGTTTGTTGTTCTTCTATTTATGAGAGACAGCGGGAAAATAATGAGACTTCTGTCATCAGGAGTAGACTTGCAAAGATGACACCTCCACAATCGTTGCTGGGTACTGACTGAGCTCGTTGCACTAGAGGAATTGAGCCAGTCACATCCGTACTGGCCAGAGAAATGGGGTTTGAGTTTGGGCTGTCCACTGTCCCTGTCCCCGTTCCTGTGCCTACACGTCCCCAGGGATGAGCAGGGGCCTCTGTTCACACAGTGTGAGCCGATGTGTCCATGAACGACCGGCAAACTTGCAGTTGCATCCTGAGCAAAGACGATTGCACCTATGCGGAAGAGGAAATGAGAAGAGGCAGGAGCTGCATGAACCTGTGTCCAGTCTAACTACGATTGCTCCGTCAGTTCCTTTACTGTTAATATGCGACGCCTCTCGCCCCATCCTGGGCTGGGGGGTTACCACTTCCCTCTGGAGATCCCCCCTTCCTCCTTTTCAGCCCTGTCTGCCCAGCTGAAAGGTGCAGCAAGCTGCTCGGCACGGGAGGGTCCTGGGAACGGACTTACTGCCTTGTGCTGGGAAGAGACTATTGCACCGGAGTTTCTCGTTCCTGTTCTCTCCAGGGATGCTCCTAGCACACAGACACTGGGGGCTGAGGGGAACAGATGATTTCATCTTACAAGTGAAATTCTTGGTGGGCTAATTCCCCCTGGGATAACTGAGAGCAAGCGGACAGTCCTGCTCAGCCGTGCTCTGCAATTAATCTCCCAGGGATGGGGTTTTATGGGGGTGTGGAGGTGGTGCAAGGTTAGAGTGTGGGTACAGACTGGACACCACCTTCTGCAAGCACCATGGGTCTGCGAACACCTACCACGCACTGGAGACCATGTTTTTGTTAAGCTGGTGGCAGGGGTAGAGGAGGTGTTTGTGCTTGAAGCCTCATGGACTTGGACCAAGCACAAGCCAAAGCTGCTGCCTCCCGACTTACGACCACTGAAGCCATTACACTCCTCTGATTTATACTTGTGGGGAAGCTGCAGAGAGTTCCCAGTATTTTTTGGAAGGAGAATTTTATGCTCAAAACTAAATTTTGTTCCTGCTTTCACTGGGGACCAGTTCTCAGCTCCAGAATTGCTCTGATAACTTTGCAATTGCTTTGATAGTTCCAGAGGGGAGCAGTCCCTTTACAGAACAGATGGAGACATTTTCACTACCATTCAACTTTGCTGTAACTCTGTCTTTCTTATAATAATTTCTTCTGCTATAACAGGAGGAGCAAAATTTGGCCAGTGCTGAACGCTCTTGAAAACTGGATTCCTGAACTTGGACAAAATTCGTCTAGAATCCGAGTCCTCCCAGATACAAACTGCCTTCCACACCCATCGGCTTCAGTGGCATTGGGGATTTCAGCAGCTTGCAAGATCAGGCTTTCGCAGCAGCAGCAGCAGCAGCAGCAGCAGCAATTTCATGATGGCAGTGTTTTTGCCTGTGTCAATCTGCACTTGCACTTGCCTGCAATGCATGACTCTAGTAATCCATTTGAAATCTACCCTCGACAGGGAGATGTGAGCTCTAGCTTCTTCCATATGGCCGTGTGTATTTAATAGGACATCAGGGGAGTGGGAGAAAGCTAATGAGATTGCTGCTTTAAAGCACTTGGTTCCAGAAATAAACCAGACCTTACCAGAGGTCAGAATAATCTTGATTTTAGCATGGGTACATGGGCAACTCATGAAATATTTAAGCATTGTAATGCAGATAGACCTTTTTCCTGTTGTGCCAGGAATGAAGTAGACTAGAAACTCTTGGCCTCCACCCCTACAGATGTTTGGCTGTGATGGAAGTTTGAGCCATCGAAATCACAGGGAAAAAAAAAAAAAAAAAAAAAGAAAGAAAAAAAGCAGATTGTGAGTTCATAGCTGAACAGTCGCAGCTTGTTTAGCAGTGAGAGCACCTCACTGCGAGGGCTGCTGCTTTCCTGCCTTACTCATTCATGTACCTACCTGGCCAGATTTCAGGGGAGGGAGGAGGGAGGAAGCACTTCAAAAGCAAGAAAATCAAACCTATGAGCCTTACCCGGAGAATCCCTCGGTCGACAGGAGCCTGCAGGCCAAGGCTCTGAAGCTATTCCTCACTGCCACGGCGGGGAAGTGGGCGAGAGCCTGGAGGTTTCTCCTGTATCCGCGGGCCAAGGCGTGCAGGAGCTGCTCTGGGGCTGTGGGAAAGCGGGAGCGCGGAGCTGGGCTGCGGGCAGGCTGCTGCACGGCCTGGCTGCAGCGTTTGCACGCAGCGTGCTGTAGGGCTGGTTCAGAAATCTGCTAGTGAGAGACACTACGCAAAGTATTTGTCTTCTGGGGGCATTCTTAATACCTTAAAAATTTAAAGACTCAAGATCTAAAAGGGCAACTGATTTGGGGCTGCTTTTTGTAGTTTTCGTGTGTTGGGTGGGGAAAGCAAACAAAAAGTATATCAAATTGTTTTGGATTAAATCAAATATCTTGTTCCCACAATAACTGCTAATGGAGTTTTTAAAATTTTCCAAGGGCAAAAAAACTGCCTTAATATGTATCCAACTGCATCAAGAGACTCCAATGCTACTTGCTTCTGAGCCTGCTTTTTTCTTTTTCTCTTTGTGTGACTGTGGCATGGAATCACATCTTAACAAAACACACTTTAAGTATTCAACAGGATGACCAGAAACAGAAGATGGTGTTTCAGAACCTCCCTGTGCCCAGCACTGAAGTGATGGCTTTGAAGCCAATGAAATTCAATGCAGAATTTCTGCTTTGCTAGAATTCTACAAAATAGGCAGATGACCACAATTCCCAAGGTTAAACAGGCTCTGCTGCCTTGAGATGCCTTCAAAAAACCCTGGGATCTGTATGCGGAAAAGAGCTTGAGAACAGGCTCCCTGGCCTGCAGCAACATCCCTGGCTCTTCTAGAGCGTACGCAATTCCCCAGGCAGTAGATGAACAGAGTAAGATGACTTTCAGCCAGGACTCATTGCTTTTTAGATTGCATGTAGTTAGAAGCATGAGTTCTGCCAGACGCCCAGGGAATTTGATATTCAGTGCCAATTAATTTTTGTAATAGGAACAGGGATTTATTCCCTTGGTTCCATTAGGCACCTTTGAAAATGCATAAGCCTCAAAGGTTGATTTGGATTTTTTTTTTTTTTCTGGTGGCCTTTTTCCTGAAGAGCAGTGGTGCCGAGATGAGAAAGGAGACCAGTCTGTGAAGGGTAGCAGCTTTGGGGCAGGCGACTCCCAAACTTTCAATTGCAGAGGTTTTCTAAACTCTTCAGATGTGGGTAAATTCTGCTCTGCTAGATGGGACTCCAACCTCTCACTGCTCTCTGGTCCTCCTGCTCCTTCCTCCCTCCCCTCAGCACCTCCTCATGTCACTGTGCCTTCATTTGGTTTATAAAGTGATGCCATGATTTAAGACTGGCACATTGTCTTTACTCTCACTTTGCATCCCATAAGACAGGTATGTGTGTGTGTGGTGGGGGGGGTTAGCTTATTTTGTAGCTTTTCGTGTGATCCTAAGGTAGGTTTCTTCTGAGGTGTAAAGGGGTGGGGACAGTGGGAGCAGGGATGAGCCGGTGTTGCATTTGATCATACCAGTGCTTTAAGCGGTCAGAAACATGGTTTTCCCCTACCTCTGAGCTCTCAATGCTGCTAAAATCTCTGCCATTCGTACAATGTACTCCAGCCCCCTCTCTCGGACTGACTCTGGCTCTGTTTGCAAGATACCCACATTGTTCTAAAGCATGCACCTCTTTCTGTATAGTTCCAATCTTCTGATTTTATGGAATACTTATGCCTGTTTGCATTACAGTCAAAATAAAAAAGTGAACTAAAATCTAGCGGACCTCGTTCTTCTCTTAGCTCTGGGTTTTTAATGCTGAAAGGCCTCTCCTGATATGTTGGCCTTGCTCTGGTTAGCTACCTGTAATGCCAGAGCACTATAAATAGGACAGTGGCGTCAACTGGCAATATCTGCTTATCTGCAAGACAGAAACACTTTCCTGTAAGGTTGCTTGAGTCACAGCATTACATGTCTCACATCATTTATACCATGTCCACCAGGAAGATGCCACAGTCAAGCAAGGAGGGATGTTTGCACGCAGTCCAGGGTGACTTTTGATGCTGGAGTTTCAGGAACACAGCAGCAGTACTCCAGGCAGGACCTGAGAGACCTGAGCAAGAAGAATGGCTGCGTGTGGCCAGTCGAATGAGCCACAAGTATGGACATGGCTTCTTACATGGGAAGGTAGTGTGCTGATGCAAGGGGGTACTAATCTGCCTTTATTTAAATAGCCCACTTCATAGTGCTCCCTGAAGAGCTGCAGGACAGGGATGTGATCAGGACAGAAAAATCCTAAATTGTCTGTGAGGAGCAGGTGAGAGGGGTCAGTATTGGAACCAGTGCTGTTTAACATCTTTGCTGGAGACACGGACAGTGGATCCAGTGCATCCTCAGCAAGTTCACCAACAACACCAAGCTGTGTGGTGGCAGTGACACGCTGGAGGGAAGGGGTGACATCCAGAGGGACCTGGGCAGGCTGGAGAGGTGGGACCGTGCAAACCTCATGGAGTTCAACAAGGCCAAGTGCAAGGTCCTGCACAGGGGTTAGGGTGATCCCAAGCACAAATCCAGGCTGGGCAAGGAGTGGATTGAGAGCAGCCCTGTGGAGGATTTGGGAGTATCACTAGATAGGAAACTGCCTGTGAGCCCCGTGCGCTGGCAGCCCAGAACCCCCCCGTGCCCTGGGCTGCAGCCAGAGCAGGGGGGGCAGCAGGGCCAGGGAGGGGATTGTCCCCCTCTGCTCCGCTCTGGAGAGACCCCCCTGCAGTGCTGGGGTCAGCTCGGGGGCCCCCAACAGCAGAAGGACCCGGAGCTGCTCGAGCGGGGCCAGAGGAGGCCACGGAGATGCTGGGGGGGCTGGAGCAGCTCCCCTGGGGGGCCGGGCTGAGAGAGTTGGGGGGGTTCAGCCTCGGGAAGAGCGGCCTCCCGGTGCTTAAAGGGGGGACATGAAAGGTGGGGAGGGACTCTTGATATCAGGGGGTGTGGGGATAGGATGAGGGATAATGGTTTTAAACTGAAAGACAGAAGATTTAGATTGGATCTAAGGCAGAAATTCTTCCCTGTGCTGGAGGTGAGGCGCTGGCCCAGGGTGCCCAGAGCAGCTGTGGGTGCCCCCTCCCTGGAAGGGTTCAAGGCCAGATTGGATGGGGCTGGGAGCACCCTGGGCTGGGGGAAGGGGCCCTGCCCGGGGCAGGGGAGTGGAAAGAAATGATCTTTAAGGTCCCTTCCAGCCCAAACCATTCTGTGATAAGACATCCGTGCGCAGGAGTGAAGGGCACGTCCCCTAGCAAGCCCTGCAGCGCCAGTCTGGCGTGAGCGGATCGTGGCTGCGATGTTACCTGATAGACGGCGGTAGTTTTACCCCAGACATCGCTGCGGTTATACCTCAGACGTCGCAGTGGTGTTACCTGAGGCACGGCAGCAGCTTTACCTCAGGCACGGCAGCCATATTCCCTCAGACATCAACCTTGCTGTTGCCCCCGACACGGCAGCAGACGCCTTGGTGCCACCTCACACCCCGCGCTGGTATTACCTCAGTGCCCACGGTGGCGCCACCGCAGACACAGCGGCAGCGTTACCTGCGGCGCGGCCGGAGACACGGCGACAGCCTCGCCCCCAGCGCCACCCCAGACATGGCGGCAGGGTTACCTCAGTCAGCGTTTCGGCTCTGCCCTGCCAGGCCCTGTTAGCCCAGGGCAGGCGGGCACAAACCACCTTGCATCCACCCGGTTCCCCGCGGCCTCCCCGGGAGGCAGCGTCGGCCTTGGTCTCCAACTGACTGCCTAGCTCTACTGGAGCAGACGGCGTTTGGCGGGACCGGCGTCCCCCCCTCTTCTCGGGGGACAGGAACTTTGCAGACGCTCCCTAGGCGCCGCTCCGGGCTCCTGCCCTTAGACCCGGAGAGGGGGTGCGCTCCGCCCCGCTCCGCTCCGCGGCACTTGGTAGACGCTCCCTAGCGCCTACCCGGGGAAAGCAGCGCTCCGTTCTGCGCTTTGCGGAGCGGCGGCGCTTGGCAGACGCTCCCCGGGCCGTTCCTCCGCCTTCGCCCTGCGCCGGAAGCGGGAGACGCTCCCTAACCCCGCCCGTAGGGGGTGGGGGGGGTGGGGGGGTGTCGCCCAGGTAAACATCCAAGATGGCGGCGGTAGCGGAGAGTCCGGGGCCGGGGGGGCCGCGGGGCGCGGCGGAGGCCGATGGCGACGGGATGGGCCTGACGGACCTGCCGGGCGAGCTGCTGGAGCTGATCCTCTGCTGCGACGTGCTGGGAGCCGCCGACATCGGGCGGGTGTCGTGCACCTGCCGCCGGCTGCGTGAGGCGTGCCAGCCCCGCGGCAAGGTGTGGCGGGAGCGCTTCCGCCTCAGGTGGGCACCGCGGCCCGGCCCGGCCCGGCCCGGCGAGGCGAGGGGTGCCCGAGGGGTGCCCGCGCCTCCCCGCAGCGCCCCGGGGCCGGGCGGGCCCTGGCAGCGCAGGCCGAGCCCCCCGCGTAGGGCTTCGGCGGGCGCCGGGGAGGGTCCCCTCGGGCCCCGCTTGGCCTGGGGAGGGGGGGGGGGGGGGGGGGGGGGGCCGGGTGCTCCTGGGGCGCTGGAAGCGCACCCCCAGCCACCACCCGATCCCTGTCTGTCGCCTCCCGGTTCCACAGAATGCGTGCTGAGCCCTTCGTGGGATGGACGAGCCCTGCAGCTTCGTGCCATGCACCTAACGGGTGAAAAGGAGGGGGGGGGGGGTGCTTTCCGAGCAGGCATGGCAGGGGCTGCTGTAAGGTTGCTTCCCCTCCTAAATCCCATGGGATGGGACCAAGGAAAGCCGTCTTTGCAGCCCCTTCCACAACTTGGATTACCCGCAGTCCCCAGATCCAGCCCGGGCTCTGGCAGCGGCATGGATGCAGGGCTGCGTGCACACCCGGGTTGTCGACTGGCCTCTCCGGGCCTGCCAGCAGCTTCCAAAACAACTGCCAAGGCTTCTCCTCTTGCAGGACTAGTGCTTTACAGCAAAGGCAGGTGTTTATTTTTAGTGCTTTTGGGAGCGCTCTTTTCACATAAACCAACATCCTTTGGAGTGACTTTTGCTGCTTGTGAGTTTAGTTTCCCCCAAAGTGTCACTGGATATCTGACGGGGGCATAGCTGTGTTGCAATCAGTGAGACTGTTAACACTTTAACTGGGAATAAAACATGAGTGTTGCCTCGCTTACACTACACTGGTTTCAGCAGTCCTAGAAACACCACTCCCTTGCTGGGGCTGCCAACTTATCTAGAACAGGGCATGCTCATCCACTACCTGGTTTTGTCTGTATTTTGGCACAGGAAAAGTAGCAATATTGCTTTCTCTAATTGCCAGTTGGCTTCTAAAATTTAGTGTAGCTCAAATGACAGGATTATTCTCTTTTCATGGGTGAAAAAGGCTACTGAACAATTACAGCTTCCCTGATTCATGGAGCTATGGCTGGCCGGATAATTTCACCAATTCAGTGGCTCTGATGTCTGAAGCAAACCTGAAGGTTTAAAAGTGGTTGAGATCCAACAGCTGAAATTGAATGTGGTAGGTGATTAGCACATGCTGCTGTCCTCCTCTGATAATAGAACTTTTGGCAGGAGTTTGCACATTGACCTTATCATCCTGGCTGGATTCCATTGTGGGTAATTGCACTTTATCTTCCTAAAATTTTCAACCCAGTAAATTATTCTTTCTCATCCTAAAATAAATGATTGTAATTGTTATTACGACGTGGCTGCATTTCAGCAGTAGATGAATGGCTAGGGATCCATCAGGAGAGAGGTGGCTATGTAATGTGAAGTTAGTTGGTTATTCTTTTGACTTTATATTGTAACTGCAATTGCAGTGTAGTTTTATTATTAACTGGTGGTAAAAGATGTCTGTCTGCACATGGAAGATAACTTTGTGTTTTGGTCAGTTGGTAGTAATTTTTCTCCTGAAGTAGTGATTTAAACATATGGCATTCTCTCAATAAAGGTAAAGCTATCTAGATATATAAAAGTATATATATATATAAACCTGAAAAGAACCTAAGGCAATCCATGTAGTTGAAGGAAAGTGTTTTGTAAAAAACAGTAATAATTAACAGAATTTCAAAATGTGAAATAAATCCCTCTGTAAATTACAAGAGGCCTTTCTGTCAGTTTTCTTTCATGTGCTGTCCAAAATATATCTGTTTGCACTGATTCTTCTTTGTGTTTCATACACAGATGATCTTGGTATCTTCAGAACAGTCATGGGTATTGCTGCTCTGGTGTGGGTTTTATGCCACAGGGCTGAGGTGTGGCAGCACATGCCCTCTTTGCTAGAAAAGGTGCTGTCACTAATGGCCCCCAAAACTTTACCTGAAGTTAGGTTTTCAGCTGAACCTTGAAACGTTTCTTTAGGCTGTGGAATGTGTTTTAGCCTTTGGACTTTTAGCCTCAGTAAAGCAAGTACAGCTTTCTTTTATGAGTGCAGTTTGGTTTTTTTTTTTAATAATTATTATATTAAATAAACTGTGAAAGCATTTAGCTATGACAATTTCACTTCAGAATTCTGTTTTCTTCCAGTCAATGCTGCCACCAGCAGGGGCAATAGAGTGAGCTCTGTTTTGTACATCCTTTTAATTAGACCCACAAGGTAGTAGGAAAAACACAGGACGATGAATTCTCATTATATTAGATGACAAGTTAGTTTAAATATGATACATCTTCAGAATGGCAAACTTTTTTTTTTTTTTTTTTATTATAAGACTACATCCCTTCTACTAATGTGATACATGTGTTTATCTTGCAACACTCTAGAAGAAGTCTCAAAAGTGTTTTGGATTTATAGATATTGAAATACTGGGAGTATGAGCCTTCTGAAGGTTTCCTGTTGGATGGCTTCAGGAAAGCTTGCTTCTAAATAACCATTAATACACAGATGAAATCAATTGGATTTATGCTTTGATGCTTGAGTCAGTCATTGGATTAAGTTATACAATTACATTTAAAGTTGTACTGTGTTTTGGCAATGTCTCAGCTCCCCAAGTCATGCAGTTACAGTAAGAAACATTTTACAGTTCTGGAGGATTTCAGCGATGTTGAAATACAAGTGAACCTGTTTGTTTATGTCATGTCTTGTTGTGTAGATGGCCATCACTGCTGAAATACTATAGCCACACAGACGGTGTTAGCTGGCTTGAAGAATACAAAGCACGGCACAATGCTGGTCTGGAAGCCCAGAGGATTGTAGCTTCGTTCTCCAAAAGGTTCTTTTCAGAACATGTAAGTCTATGAATGTGCAACAGCCTAACTAGTTGTTTAGTACTTCTTATTAGTTTGTCTTTCCGCTCTCTTCACGTCTTTTTAACTATACAGTCAGAAAGTTCCTGTTTCCTCACTTTTGTGCTAGATCACCAGCCAAAAGGGGAGAGTTCAAAATCCAAAGGTACATAGCGTCCAAAGCACACTCTGCTTATCACACTGGGCTGTTGCTGCTGCAGCTTTAAAAGCTCTTTGCTCATTGCTGCGTGTTCAGAGCTGACTCCGGGAACTTCTGAAGGACCGATCGTTTGTTGACACATGCCACAGCCTATGAATTTATCTCGCTGTAGACCTTGTGCAAGGATATGTTCTGTGAGTTGTCAGAAGTCATTTGAAAACAGGACCAACGCGCAATAGGTTCACTGAACTGGAAAGTCTGTTATTTAAGTTCTTTACCCAACCATGACACCAAGATGCTTTTGTGTTCAGTGAGAAAAAGTTGAAAATGTAGTTTCTCAGAGAGACTTGCATGTGGAACAGCAGTTACATGATTGTCTGTTTGCTTGGTTGATGGCAGTGAATTTTGAGTAGCTGTACAATTTGGGTCAACCTGAAATTCTGTGGAATAGGCATAAATGCTGCCCATAACACCAGCTGCATTAAAAAGTTCATGCAAGGGCCACTAAGTGGCCACCCCTGTCTGGCTCCTTTGCAAACATGTTGTGGTCCAATAGAGAATTCCCCTAAGATATAGGAGATTCTTGTTGAAATCCTCTTACCTGATTTTAAGCACGGGTTGTCATGTAGGTTTTCACCCCTGGAGAAGGTGGCCATGGGGCCAGTAGGGTATTTGGAGATGCGTATCTCTTAGCTGTTCTTTTTGAACTGTTCCACACAGCAGATAGACATTTGACCATGGAGAAATGTGTGTCAGGGCATTAACCGCAGGCAGAACCTTCTGGATTCCTATTCTTTTAATCACATATGCAAAGATTACTGAGAGACCATTCAGCAATATACAAAAGTCTAATAATTAGGACCATCTCCTGTGGGGCTAGAAACTGCAGCTTGATTCCCTGCTTAGAATTGAGGGGAAGAGACTTTCAACCCAATTCCACTAGATCCTGCCGAGTGCCTGCTAAGATACAGTATAATGGGAATCGATTTTTCCTTACTCTGTTAGCCCATGTCCTATACTGAAAAGCTTGAAAGAAAATAGATTGGTTACAGTTCAGTCTAAGCTTAAAAAAGAATTCCAAATTCTGGAAGAAAAAAAAAAAACATTTTGAATATAGATGCATAAGTGATCAAAAAATTCAGTTCTATCAACAGGCTGGTAACTCTGGGTTAGTGCTCATAGTTAATCAGATGAGGGTTTTAAGTGTAAGTTTGAGGCTGAAATGAAGGCTCCTGCTCCTTCGTTCCTCCCCCGAGGAGCAATCTGCTACACTAAGGAGAATTTGTAGAGGTTCAGTCAACCACAGGCAAAAGTTGATTCTACCTTAAAATTACTTTCAGCCTGCATAAGATCTGGTATGCTTGTGCTGGTCCACATACCCACTTGTAGGAGCCCCGAATGCTGTAGGATGCTGCTACTGGGGCTTTCAGTTGATTCCTGTAATAAATCCATGGAGTAGAGACTATGAGTAGTTGGTGAGCTGGACATTTTTAAGTCCTTACATAAATTTTTAAAAATAGAACAGAATTGGGTTTGAGACTTTTTATGAAATTATGTTCTTTTGGGAAGAATCTGTTGTGCTCTACATAATTGATTGTCTGGTTTGACAGGTCCCCTGTGATGGATTCAGTGACATTGAGACTCTTGGCTGCCCAAGTCATTTCTTTGAGGATGAGCTGATGTGTATCCTTAACATGGAAGGAAGGTAAGAAAGAGGGGTTAGAATGAAAGAGGTTTTTTTTTTCCCCTTTTCACCAGTTAAAGGAGAACAGTACTGTGGAGAATGCCTGACCTCAGCTTCTGTCCTTTTGTCACTCACAAAACATCATCCCCAGACCTACCAAGGCTGGGAAGTACTGCTGTGTGTTTAATTTCAAAACAAATTTAATATTCCTGGAAGAAGCCTTGTAAACTATTCTACAAGAAGGAGGTCCTCTGGCTTTATGATGCTGCTTGTTACTTGTTTCCTTGCCAGTTCATGCCATCTCTCAGGACACGTTCCATATACCCTCTTCTCTGCAGTAGTTTTGGCTTAAGGAGTTCCCATCCTCATGTTCCTTTTTTATTTAAACCTGGATCAGCTTCCTGAACTGATTCATAGGATGAGGCCACAGCACCAGAAGGAAGCAGGAATACTCCGTGAGGATTGCCACCATCAATCCTTGTATCATAAAACTGCAGCTTTTTTGTTTGTTTGTTTCTCCCCCTCTTCTTGTTGCTTTTCATAGCTGTAGTAGGTTGGTACAGTTTTTGTCTCCAAATAAGCAACTGAGTTTAATTCAACCACTGCAAAATTTGCAGTTCTGTAAATTATTCAGACAGGTAAAATGCCAGGCGGGTAAATAAAACTTCTGGTTTGCATTTGCCTGGGTATTCTCATCTCCATGGTTAACACTGGGCAAGATGAATAAGTCACTGCTTTGCTTGAAGTTTTTTCTGCTGGTAGCATATAAACCATGCTGATTTTGCTGTGATACGAAGCAGCGATAGATTGCTCTTAATGGAGTCTAATAGCCATGATTAAAGGGACTGTTAGTAGAGCTTGAAAAAACATAACTGGAATGGCAATCATCTCATTTTTGCTTTTTCACATCCATTTTATTACCTTCTCTATTTGAATTGGGACTAAACATCTCTCATTTGACAACTGCTTAAAAGCTTTTGAGCCTTTGCACTGGCCAAATGCCTCCCCATAAAGCAGAATTGATGCTAATTACACCCTGATTAAGCTGTAGACATTGCCATTCAGGAGCATTAGGCTCAATCATTTCCCTGGAAGATATCCCAATAAATCAGTTGTCCCTACTGAGCATCCCAATTTATTGGAAGAAGATAAAGTGTTACAAGGTTTGATTGTTCTCCTGACCAGTAAGATGGAGAAGGCTGATTTGACCTGCAATCTGGAGAGGAAATGTAAACAGGGGAAGAGGCTTTTTTTCTGAAGAAGGAAACTGGACTTGTTTTAAACACATGGCAAGTGCAGAGCCTGGGATCAATAGAAGGCTCCCTTTGTTTTTTTGGGGGGCCAGGGCTTTGTGCCATTCCTAACTGTTTGGTGTAAAAGTCTGCAGTGAGGCACTGGGTAGCCCATTGCTAAAGGCCAGGGCTTGCTTAGATGCCTGTGATTTGAATGCCTCTGAGTTGGTCTCTCATATTTCAGGTGACCCCTTCAAACCTTACCTGGATAGTAACCAGCTCTCCATTGCTTCTTCCCGGGCACTCTGCCTTCACTTGTCAATTTAGAAAGTGAGGGGGTTTTACTATAAAAGCTGGAAGGTTTTGGACTGTGTGATCTACAGATTAACTCTTGATCAGTTCCTGCCTTTTCAGAGCAGCAGAGGTGGTTTTTTCTCTCAGGATTTTTTTTTTTTTATTTCTGAATACTATTAGATGTGCCTTCATATCCCTTATCAATTTCTTTTTAATAGTAAGAGGATATTTTAAGATTGATTCTGGAGGGATCCAGTCAGGTAATGTTTTATGAATAAAATACAGGATTTTAATCAGATATTCCTTTAAGTAGGATCTGTGTTGTTTCCCAAAGTATCTTCTCAAAATTATATATTGGTGATAGCATAAAAATCAGAGATGATAGAAACAGTGTTTTGCAAGTGTCTTATATTGTGGAGTTTTGATGATGAATTTCTTCTTAACCATTTTTGGTTGACTCTTTTGTGATAGCAATGTCAGTCTTGTTTAGAAGAGCAATAGTCTCAATTGTAAACCTGTATTCACTGGAAAAGTTAAATCAAATGTTCACCCTTAAAGTGCTTGTTTAGAGCATTACTACTATTTGTATTTAAATGTGCAGGAAAGGTCTCACCTGGAAGTACTATGCAAAGAAAATTCTATACTTCCTACGGCAACAGAATATATTAAAAAATCTGAAGGAGTATCTTCAACGCCCGACTGATCGTCAGTCATTTTTGGAGGGTAAGTCTTCGGCAGAAATTAGGTGCCCTGTAGAGCACCTAATGACAGCTTTCCATCATTGTTGTTTCACTTGGAAAGAGCCTTCCTTGCTTGTATTTGAACTAGCCCTTGGACAACAACTCAGAATTAAGTTTGAATTTCTGATGTACCCAAAATCCTCAAAATCATGCAGTAGTTCCGTAGTGTTGCATCAGAACGTCAGGATTACATTAGCTTCTGGCAGTGCTGTATGCTTGAATAACTGCCCACGGGCAGATGAGCTGAAAAGCAATGGAGAAAATACTGAAACTCTTGCATTTGGATCTTGAACAATATATTGAGGAAATCAGCAGTAGCTCAGCGTCCTAATTAGCTGACATGACAGAAGCATTTTAACTGTGGCCCGTGGGCTGAATATGACGTAACAGAGCACCTGATCTGACTGGGAGTCAGGTCCCTACTATCTCCTTTCCCAAGAGCTTCTCAGATAAGGGCAAGGAGGGAGCTGCAGGCAGGGGAAATTGTTGTCACAGCTCATAGCCTGTGCGCTGCAGTGTTCTCTTGAGAGCTGTCTGACTGCTGGACCACTAAACCTGTGCAGTGTAGAGCTGGGGAAGGGATGGAAGTCCAGCCACATGGTGGGAAGACACATTCACCTGATATGAAGAAAGAAAAGGCTTTTCTGCGAGTCATGTCCTCAGTCTGGTGGATTATTCTCTTCTTCAAGCTTCCTGTGGAGAAGATAGTCTTCCGAATGGATCAAAAGCTGCCAGTGTCTGTAGAAGAGTCCCTTACTCTCGATATATACCTCAAAAATGTCATATGAAAGAGTCTCTAGCACCAAAGCTGGTTCTTGTTAGTGGCAGTAGACTGGGAAGAAGGGAAAGCCAAAAGTGGCTTTTTCTGGAAACCACCAAGACATTTAATTATGTGATTTAATCATGTGGGTCACAAATATATGCACTTGTCTGCCATGGAGGTACTAGTAGAGTACCAAGAAGTAGGCTTTTGTGAAGTTTCACCTGGTCAGCATGGGGAAAGAAGACATGGCTTGGGGGTCCTGCTGAAATCTTGAATACAGGCCTGTTGTGGATGTGCTAGTGAAGCAGCGTATGAAGCTGGAAGAGGTATGATCCATGCAAAATTTTTGCAGGTGAATACAATGGATTCCAAAGGTTGAACAATATGGAGGCTTTGGAAAGAGTGGTGCCGATGACAAGGAGAAGATTCTGAGAAAGGGCTATTTTTTTTCCTGCAGAAGTTTGACAGAAGAGGCTTGGGTAGAAGAAAAATGAAAATCTGTTCTGTTATAGTGGTTTTCTGACATGAAGATGGAGAGCAGGTGTGGAAGAGAAAGATGAATGCAGCAGAAGATTGAATGATGAGCAAGAATGATAGCTATGGAGGATATGGCAGGAAGAAATCAGAACTGAAGCAGAAGTGAAGTTGAGATTGTTTCAGGCTCTGAATAAAAAACTTTGTAAGTTGGGAGGATGCCAGGAGATGCAGTGTGACTGCAGAGTTGTCTGATTAAGCCTGATCTAGCAGCATACCTGCTCAGTGAACGAATCTATTGCTCTCCCTATCAATATGGTGAGGAGGGGAATGCTGAATTTAATTGGTATTTACCACGTCAGCTTATTCTTTGCATTTGATGTGGTAAATCCAATATATGACTGTAAATTTTAAAAGGAAAGCTCTTTTGTTCTGCTGCAACTGCTTGCTGCATGCCTGGGATTTAGAGCAGGTAAAACTAAGCAAAGAAAAAACTGAAGTCCTGTTTCTTATGTAGTTTGTTTTTTCCAGGTGCTGTTTTAATTGATCAATACTGTAACCCGCTGTCAGACATCTGCTTAAAAAGTGTCCAGGCACAGGTGGATGATATCACAGATAAAGTGCGCAAAGTCCTGCGGACAAAAAATCCAAGACACCCCAGCTTGGCTTCCAAGGCAGGTACTGTACAGAAACATGTGCTTTACTGCAGAGCATTTCTGCAAGTCTGGATACAGGCGGGCAAGTTGAAACAGCTGCTGAATTATTGCAGCTTAAAAGAGCTGTTGTTCTTTATCCCCTGGCAAGTATATTCTGACATTTGTGCAAACCATCATTCAGGAGACTGCTGTTTGGTCAGCCACAGAGACTCAATAGCCCAGGGTCATCAGTCCATCTGATGCTGTCTAAGCAAAAAGAATTGGGAGGGGAATTGTTCTTTTTTTTTTTTTTTTTTTTTTTTTTTTCCCCCATTTATCCCTGAAGTCTTAAGTAGTTACGCTATCTGTAGCAGAGCTGTGGGACAGGGGATCAACTTCTTTTCCTCTGCCAGTCTCAGAAAGTCAGCAGCATAGAAAAGATGTGTGCTTTAACATCTCCAAAGGTCAGGCAGCATCTTGCTCCTTGTTTTTTATAAGCACAATCTACTGTTGTCTTTCAAAGAGAGAATGAGCGGTCTGCCTGTATCTATACATCTGGAGTGGCCAAGCTGGGACTCTCAAGCAGGGAAAGCACGCTTCCCATGCCTGGGCAGTGTGGCATGTCCAGCTGCAGGGCTGTGCTGGCACAGGGTGGTTAAGAGCCAGCCCTCCAGCTGCAGAAGGGAGCGAGGCAGCACTGCTGCGCCACTGAGGTGCAGGGCCAGGCCGCTGAGTGCGAGCGGAGTGCTGGGGCTGTGCGGTGCCATGGGCAGCTCCAGCCAGTCTCTTGGCTGTCTGAATGGCAATAAGTCTCTTGTATTCGCAGTCCATGTGAAGAATTTTGGTGTAAGGTTCACTGCATGAAGGTTAAGTACACTTGTTTTCTCAGTTTTTGTTTCTTTGCATGTGTTTTTAGGAGAGGTCCTGATTCCAGAAGTAGAGCTTCAGCGGCAGGTACTTGATGCTATGAATTGTGTCCTATATGAGCAGTTAAAATACAAAGGAAACGAGCTGGATTACTATAACTCCCTGAATTCATACATTCACCAGGTATGTGTACGTTAGGCAAAAACTAGGAGGCTGCAAGGCTTGAGACTTTCTATTTGTGGTGTTTATTTGTCCGAATGTAGTCAGAAAAATAGTTCTCTCTGAAGAACGATTTGCTGTAAAGTTAATATGATGTCATCTTTTAGTGCATAGTCTGTCAAGTTCATGTATTTCCTTTTGTGAAATCAAACCTTGAGGGGTTTGTGTTTTGCTTAATGTCCCAAATGTTTTTATCACATTTTTATCCCGCAGGTTTTGATCCGCAGGACGGGAATTCCCATCAGTTTGTCTGTGCTTTATTTAACAATTGCCAGGCAGCTGGGAGTCAAACTCGAACCAGTCAACTTCCCTAGCCATTTTCTACTGCGATGGTGTCAAGGAAAAGAAGGGTAAGTGACCTACTGAATTTTGAAGTTGTGTCCACAGTAACAAGAGCCAGAAAGCATTTACAGCTCCAGACCTATACCAGAATGTTTAATTATTTTTCATTTGTAATTATAACCTCAGACCTCTAAAAAAGTATTTCCAGAACTCAACTCTGATGATGATGAACGGTAACAGATTTCCTGAGTGCGAAATAGTACTAACCATGAAGTAATGTTTCTCTTAAGAAAATTATGAAAAACTGAAAAAAAGAAAAAAGGTACTGATTTCACTTAACCTTGCATACAGAACAGTTGCTCGAGGCCACTGCTCTTGTTCTGTGCACTCATTTAATTCTCTGAGTCAGTGCAGAATACATCTTTGACCAGATCATGATCAATTTACAGAAATCTGTATTTTGTGAATGACATCAGCAGTCCAATTCAGAGCGACGGTTTTGTCTATATATACACTCCTTTTGGCACTAGGCTTCAGATGCCATATGCGTGGGCTCTGTTACACTTTCCAGTGCAGGGCTATAATACAATCTAGCAATAGATAGAGCACACCTGAAAATACCCAAAGGAAAGAACTGTTATGATGGATTGAAAAGCCCCCTTAGTTTCTCTGTCTTTTCCTTTGTATGTTTATCTGAAGAAGCAGCTAGGAAGAGAGAGAAGGTGCCAGGTAATCTTGTTTTAGGAGGGGACTGAGGTATGAATGACATTAGTTTTACAAACAAGCTTGAAAAGGGGTGAGGGAATAAAAGAAATAGGTAATCCTGCTTGACCATGAGACCCATCATCACAATTTAGTTTCCTTGTTGTTTCATTAGAAGCACAGATATTTTTGACTACACCTACATTGACGCCTTTGGGAAGGGGAAGCAGCTGACGGTGAAGGAGTGTGAGTACCTTATTGGCCACCATGTGACAGAGGAGTTCTATGGAGTGGTGACTTCAAAAGAGGTCTTGCAGCGTATGGTGGGAAATCTCTTAAACCTTGGCAAGCGGTGAGTTGAGGATCGTCTGGCCTGTAAGGCCTGTGGAATAAAGGACCCAGAGTATGCTGTCTGCATATCCGATACTGCTTCTTCACAGTATTTGAATGAGTGCTTTAAAAAGGTGTCAGTCACCCCAGGGGATCTTGAAAATTCTGTATGTCGTGTTGCATTGTGGCATTGTTTTTACTCACCTGCAGCGGTATTGTTTGGAAACAAGAATATTTAGTAAAACTGATTCCTCTCAAGAAAATGGCAGATAACTTTTTTAATTTGTGAAAAGCTGATAGGGACTGTCCACTGTTCCCTTAAGAGCAGCAACCTTAATTTATGATCTGGTAAGCACATCCCACATGCTCAAATGAGCAGTTTCAGAGATAGTATTGGTTTGTAGAAAATCTGGTTTTATTCTCAAATGCCCCCGATAATCACTTTCCCAAGTAGCCATACACAGAAATCAGAGTGAGAGGATTGCTTTAGGTGTAATTAAGCTAGGGGGAAAAAGCAGATTTCAGAAGGAAATGGCTTGGAGAGTGAATTCATTATGGAGGATTATTTGACCAAGTGAAATAGCAGTGAAGTGGGTGGGTAGAGTCCAATCATAGTTGTGTAGCGTTTTTCTTTCTGAGCATGCTGTTGGATGTGATGAGTGACAGAGCTGGAGTCACTCTTACTGAATGGGCATGCCTGTACCCAATGGCATCGTTTTTGGTGACTCTCCCTGTACAATTGAGTACTGGGGGTAGGGGTTGGAAGAGCTAGCCTTACAATTGAGTTTCTTTTTTGCTGGCAGAGAAAGCACTGATCAGTCTTACCAACTCTTGAGAGACTCGTTGGATCTATACCTGGCCATGTATCCGGACAATGTGCAGCATCTAATGCTCCAGGCTAGGTTATACTTCCACCTGGGAATCTGGCCAGAAAAGGTACCTCACCACTCCGTCGTGCGTATTCTGATAGGCTAAGCACTACTAACACTAGTCTATTGATTTTTAGACTACATCAGCTTGCATTACAGTCTGTCACAAGTTGTTTCTGTAATAAATGCAATTGAACAAGTTATCACATTTCAAAGAATCAATTTCTACTATATGAAGCAGGGAAAAGAGGATGATTCTTGCTTGCTTGCCCTAGGGGAGACTTGTGAGCAGCCTCGCATCTTAGTAATAATTTATGATTTACTGCTCAAGTCTGACAGCTTGCAACTGATAGTGTGGACTTCTAGCTGTAAGTTACAAGAGCATTCTATTTGGTTTATGTCTAGATTGTGGTAGTAGTGGTAAAACTCTTGTAATGGGAGCAATTAACTTATCGGGAAACTTGTAGGAAGTCATCTTTTATAAATATGACCAAAGCTGTTCTCTGAAATCTCAGCCACACAATCAGTGGCTCTTGTGAAAAAGCACAGTAATTAATATTCCTGTCTTTGGGATTCTTTTTTAATATCACCTTTAGCGTAGCAACTTTTCTCCTGCTATCTTGTGAATGTGGGAAAGAAGGTGCCGAGACTTAGAAGGTGTCTCAGTTGTCTAGATCATCTGTGTCTTTCACTGAACAAGGGGAAAGCACAGGGAACAAGCATGTAACTCAAAAAAGTATTATTTCTTTAGTGTGTCACTACAGCAAAGAGGTGTCCCCTAGTCAGAATTTCCTGTACTACTGTAGTGAAGCTTAGACACTTGGGCAGTGCCTGTGCCGTTTCCAAATGGGAGGTTTGGGTGAGGGCTCAGAAGTATTGGCTGGACAGCTGAGCAGAAAACAAAGCTCTTCCCACCAAATGAGCTGAAGCATAGGACTGCTGGAGAAGCTGCCTTCGTTTTGAAGAACAAACTGTGCTAAGCTTGCTGCTCCTTTCTTGTGGCAGCAAGTTGTAGGGTTGCCACAGAAAAAACAGCACAAACTAAGAAATTGTGTACAGGGACTTGCTGAACTGAAATGGCAACCATGCATAAATAGGGGACAGCTCAATGAAACACTGAAAGATCTTCCTTCCCCTTTCTGGCACTGAGCAATGTATTTGTAAAGCACCAAGGCTTTAAGTACTTGCATTTTGCTGCCCCTCAGAACAAGTAATAGAACCCCATGGCTGAGTTTTGCATGTTGTTTCTCTGTACCACATTGCTGGATGCAATGAAAATGTGCACATTTGGCCTCTTCAGTATCACATCCTCATATGCATCCAGTCATTCCAGGCTGTCGGGTAGGATTGTAGCTAGCCAGGGAGAATGTTCTCTGACAGAACAGAAGATAACAGATTTAATAGAGGTCTACCAGATTTATGGAAAGTGCTACAAAATCTAAAAAGTCAAGCAGAGCTACACAGAATGTTGTCCTAAAAGTTTTAAAATAACAGTAAATCTGTTTTGCCGAGAATCTCTGGCAGCTCTGGTCACTGTACTAGGCTTTTCCCTTTCTGTAGGATTTTTCAGGATTTTTATGTCCTTAAGATGCCAGCCAGAGAATTAAGGTGGACAAGAAGCCTGAGCGGTGTTTCTTATGCCTGCTCACCTGTTCTTTTCCTGAGTTAATTTTTCTTTACCTCTTGGCTGATGTTCATGCTTAATACCCTGAGATTTATATTCTACTGCTGCTCTGAATTTAGAGTGACCAAAACTTCTAACGTGTGATCAAGGAGACAATCCTTTTGCCAGGTGCTAAAGTGTGTCAGATTTTGGAACTGTGGCAGCAGCACTTGGGGTATTTGATGTTGGGACGAATGTATCTGTCTCCTCCCAACCTGTTTAGACAACAGTTTCAGTAAGAGCAAGAAAGGAAGGAGGAAAAAAAAAAAAGTAAAACTTGCATTGCCTGCCTCTTGAAAGCAATCTGATAGTGTGCCAGCGGGTGTTGGTAGGCTGGTAATCTGGATCTACAGGGTTTGTTGCTTTGAGAGTACATGTAAAGTTAGTGTTCCTTAGTCATCCTGAGACAAGCAGGTTCTCTGTCTCTTGTTCACTATTACATGATACAGCATCATAGAGGTTCTTTGCATTTCCTTCTGTGCTACCCAGTTTTTCTTCTGCCAGGCTCCCACAGACATGCTGAGGAACTCTTAAACTAAAATGTTTGTTCTCAAGTACAGCAGAAGTCGTCTGGAATCACTTCACGGCAGCAATTTGGGAGACTAGCAACAGTGTTCTCTTAACATTTCAGAAAGCTTGAAACGGTCTTGTTAGTGCCCTGTAGTCACAAAATGTAACACGATTAGCTTGTATGACTTGGTGGTAAGGAGTTCTGTGTTCAACAGTGCCCTTCCTTTGAAGCAGGGCACTTTACATATGGAAAAGGAAAGGACTGTTTGCAGTTTCTGCAGGCTAAGCAAGTGTGAAGAACTCCTTGGGAGTGTGTAGCTAGAGCAAAGGTTCTCAGTCCTGTGTGGGAAACTCATGTGGTGAACCCCTATGCCTGGGCACATAGACCCAGGTAACTTGAGAAATACAGCTCTATATATTTCTAAGTGGTGGACTGCTGTAGAGACTTGTTCTGAATCTGTCTTTTTGTTTTGGTTGTTGAAGGTTCTGGACATCCTGCAGCATATTCAGGCTTTGGACCCATCCCAGCATGGGGCTGTCGGGTACTTAGTTCAGCACACCCTAGAGCATATTGAGCGTCGGAAGGAGGAGGTGGGACCTGAGGTGAAGCACCGTTCAGATGAGAAGCACAAAGAGGTCTGCTTTTCAATTGGGCTGATTATGAAACACAAGAGGTGAGCTCTTCAAAACCTTCCCCACATTAGCAGGCTGTACTGTTATGAGGGCAGAAGTGTTCATTCTGACAGTAGTGAGACGTGGGTTTACCTGCCAAGGAGGTACCTGGAATGGAAGATGCCAGGCACGTGCATCTATGCCACATACCTTGCAGAAAAATGGAAGCAGCTCTGTCTGTCCTTTGAGAGAGTGAGAGTATTCACTGCTGTTTGCTTGCAGAGAGAAGTTTGTGAGGTGACTTGTCTGAGTTATGATATATCACACAGCTAAAATTTCCACAGCCCAGAGCTCTTGAAGAAACAGTAATCGGTTAATGAGGGACCGTGGAACAGAATCGACTTCAAAAAAGATTGTAAGATTCCTAAGACAGCTTATGAATCTTTCTCTGTGCTATTATTACTCCCTCTTCCTGCACTGCACAGGAGCTTTGTGTTCCTGTCTGTACCACTCTGCCAGAATGACATGCCAGCACTGTGTTGCTGCATCCACTCCTCAACTCAACAAGACATCTGGAGCGTATTTTAAGGGTGTCAGCAGTGACAGTTATAATACCTCACGATTAATCGCGTAAATAATCTGAAAATAATGATGACACTGTTTCTGGGAGTTCAGTACTGGGATTACCACGTCTGTGTGATGGGCACAGAAGTAATTGCACAACACAGTAGCACAGTGGATTCTCTCCCTGTTTCTTGTTTCTTGTTCTCCCAATTGCTGACTTCCAGCCTCTTTCCTATTTTCATTTCTTGCTCACATTTGTTTTTCCTTTGTCCTCAGCTGTTTGTTCCTGTCTGTTTTATCCAGTCACTCCTAGTCATTTCCCCTCACCTCAAAATACACACATGTACACACACAGTCTTTTTGAATTGTTTGGTTTGGTTTTGTTTTTTTAACTCTTGTCCTCTCCTCCTTGAGCCAACTCACAGAAAGCTTCTATCCTGTTTGTGCTATATTAGTCTTGAGGAAAAATAGCTGGGTCTGGAATTTTCACAGTCTTTGGTGTGCAATTTTTTTAATTAGATATGGCTATAACTGCGTGATTTATGGCTGGGATCCCGCCTGCATGATGGGACATGAATGGATCCGGAACATGAATGTCCACAGCCTTCCACATGGCCCCCACCAGCCTTTCTACAATGTGCTAGTGGAAGATGGCTCTTGCAGATACGCTGCTCAAGGTGAGCAGGAGTCTCCTGTGTTTACTATCTGTTTAGAAGTACATTAGGAGAAAGGGAAGCTTAAGTGATTAACTCTCTTTAAGTATGAAATATAAACTGTTAGTTAAGTTTGAGGTAGGAAGGAAAATGATCTTGGATCATGGCCTCCTTGCTTTGCTCTCCATGAAAACAGTACTGCTAGGAATGATGACACTCAGGTGTAATCTCCTCTTGCCCAAGAAGTGTGTTTTCAACGTGATTGGTTTTATGGCATAAACCATGATTGTTGCTTTTGAAAGAAGTAAATCAACTTTTGCTGAAGACTGAAGTTCTGTCAGCAGCTCTTGCTTGGGCAGGACCTCTCAAAATAAGATCTAGTGAGGGAGCACCATGGGCTTTGCTTGTCAGGGTGTGGTTCTGAGCAGCTGTCATCAAGAGACTGTACCTGCCAAGATCCCAGAGAACACAGGTAGCATGGCTTTTAGTGCCACCTCTAATAAGAATGGGACAAAAAGGAATGATTCTTTACCAGTGCAAAGAGGCGTAGAAATGTCTATCATCCATTCTTTATGCAACAAACCGTAAGAAAGAATTCTTGTCTGATGGTCAAAATATGAGGGTAGGATACAGGTAGAAATGTCAAACTGAGGTTCAAAAGAAAAAAAAAAAAAAACACTACTAAAATACATCTGTAACTGTACATTGTAAGCAGAGTGGTTTTCGCCTCATGTTTGTCCTTCTCCCCGGGATAGGGAGGCATCCCATCCAGCTGGCAGGGCAGCTGCACAGCCTGATTGTATTTTGCTAAGAGAAGATGTGGAAGCTGTTAGAGGGAAAACGCAGTTCAGCTCGTTCCTGAGGGGGTGCTCCCAAGCACATTCTGGTCCTGTGCATGTGAGCAAGCGGTGTGTTTAGAGGAGAGGAGGCTCCTACCCTTGTAAGTTTAAAGTGCAGGTGTTTCTCACTGTCCTGAGTTACTTTATATTCAGTAGTCCAAAAAGATGAAATGGGGACTGGGAATATTGCAGCTCAGCCTTATGGCGCATATTAGGCAGCACTTGGCCTCTTAAAGAGTCTTAAAAACAGAAAATTCTTGTGTGACATGGGTTGATACTAAAATATGCATCTCAGTGAAAACTAATTAGACAATTGTCCGCAGTGCTTCCAGGGCTGAGTCATCTCTTATATTTTTTGTCTAATTGTTTATACACATGCTGGCTGGTTCCAGAACACAGAGTATTTTAGCCAAGCTATAGGTTGACAGTGTCATCTCTGTGCCATCCAAGTGTTTTGATATTGCTAGGGAAAATTTAAGGGTTTGTTCTTGCTTGCTGAAATCTTTCTGCCTAACTGTTGAGTATCCCCTCTAAAATACATCCTTAGGTCACTTGGGAAGGGAGTATTTCAGAACTTACTGACCTGACTTTGAGGAGGGGATGGTAGTGTTTTACTGAAAGAATTTTAAACAAATCTGCATGCAAAGTTTTACCTAACCAGCTCAGAAATAACACCAAGCTTATAATAAGTAATTATACCTCAGTTTGAGTTCTTGCTGTAAGTTTGTAGATTGAGCTGTAGCCAATTCCAAAACACCTGTTTTATACAGTGAGTTTGGTATCTACCTGTCCACTCTTGTCTCTTTTTGCTTTGTGGCAGCACAGGCCAGATATCTGGGGTTCAAAAACTTTAGTCAGCACGTTTCTCCGGCTCCTCACCTAGTGCCAAACTTGCTTATCTCAGTCTCTTCCCCCCTGTCAGCTTCTGTTTCGTCACTGTGTTTTTCCCTTTGTACGCAGCTCACTGCTCAGCCATGCTTCTGCAGAGCATATTGGAGTGTAAATTGTTTTCCGCAGTGGTGCAGTATACGAAAAAGGTACTTTGCAAGCCTGTAGGTCTGCACCAGCCCACTACGGTGTAGAAAGCACTTGTGCTTTTGGCTGCACACACTGACATACAGTAGCTTTGAAGAGCCTGTATGGATTAATATGACTTGTATGTGCTCTCTGTAGTGAGCTGAATGGTTTCAGAGACAGATTACTTACTCCTGAACGACGTTCTCTGCATCTCATCTTGTCCCTGCCCTGCCTTGCAGTTAAGTCAGACTTTGGGGCTTAGACAGCTTTTGTTTCTACCTGTATATCTGGCACTGTGCTGGAAAAAAATGACATCATCTGGGGACTGCTGCCGGGCACCTGCGCATGTGATTTACTGCTGGGCTGCATCCCAGTCACACTGCTTTGTACGAGTGCTGTGGGAGCGAAGGGGCCCTCAGCTTGGGTCACCTTTGCGCTTTAATGCCAGCGCTTCCGTGTTGTTTAACTGTTGTGCTTAATCAGGTTATCTTTTAGTACGAAGGAGGAAATGGGGTGCTCTGGGAAGCAGTCGGTGTGATCTGCTTGGGGACTTTCTCTTAACTTTGGGAAGTTTGCGTTTAGACTGAATTTAATTTTGCTGTGTGAGACATGCTTGAAAACCAGGCTGGTGACTTGTCGAGGCTGAAACACAGATGGGTGACTTAAAGCAAGAAAGCACTCGGGCTCCTCTACCAGAACAACGGTGTGCAGTTGGCCTCACCTTGGAGCATTTGAGAAGGATCTCTCCTAAAACTGATCTCCCATGGGACTCGAGAGATCAGAGCTCAGTGCAGCAGCTTCTCCCTGTGCTCACAAACAAGACCTGTGACCAACAGAGTGGGAGCAGGTCAGCATCCTGCTACTCTAACCTAGTCAGACAACGTGGTTTCAGCCATAAGGTAGTTTTCAAGTCACTAGTAAATGTGGTCAGCATCCCTTAGGAGATGAGGCTCTGTGAGCAATTGTACTGGCACGCTATGTGTGTATTTTTCTGGATTAGGGTATTTTTTTCTGTAAAGCATCAGGAGGTGGTGTTTCTGGAGACAGAAACAAGACTTGAGAGAGGCACAGGATTTGATGCCTTGTAGCAAGCCATTTCATGTGGTCATAACTGATTATTTCCTTTCCTAACAGAGAACCTGGAATATAACTCTGAGCCGCGGGAGATCCCTCACCCTGACATTGGCCGCTATTTTTCAGAGTTTACCGGCATTCACTACCTAGCAAATACCGAGCTAGAAATTCGGTACCCGGAGGATTTGGAGCTCACATGTGCCACAGTTCAGAAGATCTACAGTTCAGGCAAGGAGTGAGTACAAAAGGCACCATGAGGACAGAAGCAGCTGGAGTGTAGCTTTACCCTCTTTGCAAAACTTGCGTGGAAGGCAAGTTTGCTGACAATCCTTTGGCTTAATGCATTGAAAACTGCATTGGACTTTGTAACTGGTGCTAGAGCATCTTTCCGTTGCCTGCCTGCCCGTTCTGGCCCAGAGGCACAGGGACACATTGATAGCTGAGGCCAGGCATAAGGACCTTGCAGGGACAGTTGTGCTAGGAAGCGCGTTGTCCTGCGGAAGGATTTGCGCATACTATTCCTTCTGTGATTGTCTTGCCTAGAAGGTTGGCACAGTATATGTGTAATATGGAAGAACCCCCTCTTCCAGAGAAGGAAGTTGCTTGTCTTTGCAGTGTTGTGGGTGTTTTGTTTTTGTTTTGTTTTGATTTTTTTTTTTTTTTTAATGTATATCTCATGCAGGTGATAGTTTTTAAAGTCTTTTATGTTTCACTGTTGTTTTCTCTGGTCTGAATTTTTGGTTAGATTTTGCTTCACCTCTGTAGTCTGATTGTTCACAGAGCTACTGTTCTGATTCTGAATATCCTTACGAGCCTGGGAAAGAGCCCCAGCAACAAAACCAGCAGCAGGTGCTCAGGGGGTGGCAGGTACAGTGGTAACCCTGAGGTCCAGTTGGCCACCTTGCTGATGATACAAACTCTCCTAGTGCAGAAGATGAGCTTCTAGCCCTTTTCCATGCCTGCTAAACATACCCAGTCCACATTCTTACCTTGTTTTTTGGTCTGTTCATCACATATATCCAAGGCAGGATCTGCGGCACAGCCACGAGTGCTCCCAGGACAATTTTGAACCTCGTGGCACTGTTCATCGAAGCCTTGAGGTCAGTGCCAGAATGACTTTGTGTGGGGAGCTTCCACTTGCTGCCGTCTCCGATCTGTAGGTATTTATGCAATACAGTGGGATCATGACTGGAAACTGGCCAACCCTGAAGTCAGCCAAACCGTGCATGGAAGAGAGATGTTAATTCCTGCAGCTTGAGCCCTTCTTCCTTTTTTGCCAAAAGAGAACAGATTTGGGGAGAGCTCATACTGCACTGCCCAGAAGGGAAGAGCTTTAGCAGCTCAAGGCACGTGAATTTTCACGTGACTTAAAGGCCCAGACAGAATCGCTCCAGAAAAGGTTTTCCTCTGGGTTCGAGTATTATGGGGTGCAGAGTGACACAGTGTGTGCACACACTGAGCCTGCATATCTTCGTGGTGTTCTGAAGCAGTGTCTGTAGACTAGCTGCAGCTAGTGTCTCCCATCACTGTCCAGTTGCAATGCAGTAGTTATGTTGGAGATGAGTACTAGGCGCTGTGCCCTGTAGAGTTAGGTGGATGCTCTTACTCTGTTATAGCCCATCAGGTATCGCCACGTGAAATCACACAGCCCTCCTCTTAAAAGAATGCTTGAGCTGCATGCCATCCTATTGAAATACAGAGCACTGATCAAATACGAGAAATAAATACAGAAAGCCCAGCACTTTTGCCAGCAGAGCGATCGTGGTGGTCTGCAGGAATCTTGATGCTTTAGGAAGAAGAGCCCTGTGTGGTTAGTGCTGAGGAATGGGGAAGGTGCTGTACTCTAAGTCTTTAAAGAAGTCTGTACGGAAGTGAACTTCGAGGGAGGGAAGGAGGAAGGGACCAAAGAATTTCTATGGAAGCAGAATGGATCCAACTGAAAGCAGGGTAGGGAATCATTAGGCAAAAATCTTAAAATCCATCTCTTGTTTCTGAGGGTTGGAGTAGACCCCAGACCTCCAACCCTTTCTGAGGGTTGAAAGGAGATCCCAAAAGATTCCTAGCAGGGGTGCAAGGCTGGGAATGGGACTGCTGAGTCACAAGGTTGATGCTGGTAGCTGAGACCAGGCGTGCAGGAGCAGGGCTTGGGGGCCCAGTTCCCAGCCTCAGCTTCGATGATGCTAGCTCTGTGATAGCATGGGTGTCAGTGAGTTTTCTGGGGCTTTATGCCCCCCTCTGCCAAATGAGCAGTCAGTTGACACCTTGTCCCTCTCAAGGACATCAAGAGAATTCCCACATACCCAGCTCGTAGGAGTCCCCACTAAGAGGTGCTGCCTGAAAGCCAGGTAGAATTGTGCCATAAAAAAGCCACAGGGCTTAACAGAAAGCTGCCCAAAGCTCCTCTGAAAACTGGTACTGGGCAATGCATATCTAACCCACTTGAAAACATGCTGTGTACTTAAAGACAGGGGTCCCAGAGTAGCGGGCAGAGCCCATTATACCCATCTTTCTGGGGCCACCCTATGTTTATACTCTGAAAAGAGTCTGAACAGAGGAAGTGTGGGAGCTGCTCCTCTCTTGGTTCACACACGTCCCCCGCCCGCAGACCCTTAACCATTTCCGTTTTTGCATGGGGTGCAGAAGGGGAGCACTACTGGGCAACGGGGGACAGACGTGCTGCAAGCGACTTGACGTCCACAAGGCAACCCAGCCAGCCCCGCGACTAAAACCTCTCGCCCCTTCAGCAAACACTTGGTAGTGAAACTGTCCCCCTCCAGCCAGGTCTTCCTGCCTGCTTCGCTGTACAGACCACGTCAGCGCGCGGTTCTGTGGGTGCCAGTGTTGTCCAGGAGCACCAACACAGCCTTGTCCGTGCCAAACTCGGAAGAGACCGGAGGTGTTTCAGTAGGCACCGCACAGCATCAGCACAGGGTCCCAAGTCTGGCTTTGGGACTTCAGACAAAACCAAAGGAAAGGGCGTGTAAAAGCTCCCCCTTTTTTGTTGCTATTCGGTTGGATGCGCCAGCCCCCTCGATCTGTGTTCTTGCTGCTGCCGGGGGCGCGGGCTGCGTCGCCTGCGATGGGCTGAGTCTTTGGTCTTGGTGAGGAGGAATTCCCACGTATTTGCAGCTGTGAGAGCCCAAGCATCCGGGGTGGCCAGGGGAGACTGAAAAAAACCCACAATGATACCTCTCAATCCCTGCTCCAGCAACGTCTTGAAATGCAGCTCAGTTCCCGTGGACTGAGCAGCCGAGGCCCAGCACAGCTGGGAAAGAAATGCCCCTGGGCTGGTGGAGGTCACACATCGGGCGTTCACCTCCGCATCGGGTGGCTCCTCTGTCCCCTCCTCTCCTGGCAGCACGGGCGTCTCCGCAGTCACCATTTCCCCAAGAAGACAGCAGTGGATCCCAAAAGTTCCTTGTGTCCGTGAGTAATGTCTGGGTCCACGTGAATGTACATATGTTAAAGATGATACATATGCATACCCATCACAGTTTGTCCTGTTGTGTCTGTGCAGAGCTTGCTTGCGAGAAGGGGTGTTTTGCTTTCTGGAGAAGGTGGAATTGCCCTTCTCTTACCTGACTTCACTCGCCCACCATCCCACCGAGCAGAAGGACTGTCCAGGTCCGCCTGGTGCGGTACCAAAGGCCTCTGGTCCCGAGTCCCCGGGGGCAGAGGGGGTGTGGGTTTCCTCCAGCTAATGCCATCTTCTCCCTTTTCTGTCTGTGTCATCGGCCATCTGTCCTGTGGGCAGAACAGCCAGGCTGCTGTCGTGTTAAAATGGCTTTCTGGAGGCTGCAGGGAAAAAAATGGGGAGAAAGAGAAGGCTGGAAGGGGGCAGGAAGGGAAGGAGCAATCGCTGTCTGGCTCATCAGGGAAGCGGCACAGCGGGTGAGCAGCCGTCGGGGGCTGGTTTTGAGCGGTGCCCAGGGCTGTGGCACAGGGAGCGCGTTCCCAGACCTGCCCTGGCAGGGGTGAGGGCTGTGGGCACCAGCCGCCTCGGAGGGGGCTTGTCCTCCCTCCCAGGCCCGTGCCTCCAGGTGCTGCTGCTGCTTGTGAGAGCCTGAATTGCCGCTCCAGCCCTCCCCCAGCACAGCGTGTTCCCTGGGGCCGGCAGAATCCCCTTGGGAAGCCCTTCCACCCCTTCCCGACACCCAGGGCCAGCGGGGACACGCTGCAACGTGCCCTACCAGCCCCACCACCACCACAGCGTGTGGCTTCGGTGGCAGTTTGTCACCAACCCTTTTGAGGAAAAACAAGAGGCCTCAAGACCCTGTGTACCAGCCAGCCGAGAGCTGGAACCTCAGGGGGCTCTGCCGCTGAGCACAGGTGGGCAAGAGGAGGAAGGAGGGACTCCTCGGGGCTAGAGGAGGGTCCCTGGGCACCTTCTGCTCCCTCCTGGGCCACCTTCACACAGGTATTGTCCTGACTAGGGCCGAACCTCTCCAAGGGATGTCACAGCTCCGTGGGCCCGACCTGCCTGCCTGGCTGGTGGCTCTTCCCACCCCCACGGGGACTGGCTACGTGGGCAAGGGCAGAGCACTGCCTGGGTTACCGCTCTCTCCTACCCTCCTCCTTTGGGCTGGAAATACCTGGGAAAAGAGTCGCGTTAGATGAAAAATTGTCTGCCCCAGGCCTGAGGGGTGAGGACCCCTGAGCCCCAGGGTTTCCCTGACACCGCCAGCTCCGGTTGTAGGATGGCGACATCTCTGCTTTTTTTAAAAAAAAAAAAAAAAAAACAAAACAAAACCCCCAGATATTTTATTGAATCGGGGACAGCTGGAGGCTGGAAATGATTTGGTTTATTTCCTGTTTATATTTGGCTTTAAAAAAATAAACCACACTGACTTGCTACCTCCTGCCCCAGGGTGCTGTGCTTTCGGCGCTGCCTGCCCCGCTCAGACCCGCTTTTCTCGGAAGGCGTTTGCTCTTCCCCTGCGCTCAGGGGAGGCTGACGTGTCTCCCAGGTCCGCAGCCCCGTGTGGCAGCGAGACGGTGACAGAAACACCCCCCTCTGCCCTGGCCCCTGCCCAGCCTGCAGCTGCCTGCGGCGCCCGGGGTCCCAGCCTCTGGGCCTGAGCAGGGCTGCGTTTCTCTCTTTTTTTTTTTTGGGGGGGGGGGGCTGGGGAGATTCTGTGTCACCCCTCTGACTGTCCCCTTCCCCGCTCCATGGGCAGAGCCAGGGTTGGGGGAAGCTCACGTGGGGGCCGGGGTTCCAGGCACTGCAGGAGACCCCCAGGCTGAGCGGGGGGGGGGGGGGGGGGGGGGGGGGGGGGGGCGTGGGCATTCCCGACTGTTTTCTCAGGGACCCCAGCAGGGCCACGTGGTGCCCACAGCCACGAGTGGGCGCACGGTCAGGGGCTTCAAGTGCTGCCGGCCAGCGCATTGAAGGAGCTGCCAACCGCGCCGGCGGGGGGGGTGGTGTTAACTCTGGAACCTAACGACGGCGCGGCGGCGGGGAGCTGAGGGACCCGGGGGAGCCGCGCTGCCGCCGCCGCCGCCTCCCTCCCCGCCGCGCCCGCCCTTATAAAGCGGCGGCGGAGCCCGGTGCAGCGGCCCGGCGCTGCCTCCCGGCGTGGGCCCGGCATGGGCTCCGCGCACTCCGTGCCCGCCGAGATGCGGGAGCTGGCGGACAGGACCGGCTGTGAGTAACCGCGGGGCCCCGCAGTACCGGGGGGGGGGGGGGGCACCTTGGCCAGGCCCTGCCCGCCGCTTCCCCTTCTCCCCCCTCCCCAAACCTCCGCTGTGTACCGCGCACCCCCCCGCGGAGGGGGGACACGGGGTGCGGGACGTGTCACCTGCGGGGGGGGGGGGGGGGGGGATGTCATCGTGGGGAGGGGAGGGAAGGGGGGGGGATGTAGGTGTCACCCAGGGGTGTCACCCGGGGGCGGGATGCAGCCGGGCGTCGAGCGCGCCCACGTGTGAACCCCGGCAGCGCTGTGCCCACCCACGCCGCGAGTGCAAGAGCTGGTCCCCCCACGCCGCCGATCCAGCGGCTCCCGGCGATGCTCCGGGGGGGTGGGACCCTGCGTGACGCCCGGCCGCGCGGGGGAAGGGGCCGAGCGGGGTTTGCAGCAGGGATGTGGCGGCTTCGGGCTCCACGAAGGGCTCGGTGCGTGGGCCGGGGGGTGGTCGTGTCCCTCGTGGGAAATGTCATCGCTCCAGGATGCGCCAGGCCGGGGCCGGCGCTGGGCACAGAGCCCGGGATGCTCCCGCCTGGCTGCTCCAGCTCCCGCGTACCGGGCGGGCTGGGCTGGGGGGAGGCAGCTCTGCCCACGGCCAAAGGATGTGCCGGGGCTGGGGGGGGGTCGGGTCACATCGCCCTTCCTCCCCTCTCACTCCTCCTCCTCCCCCACTGAGGGCACCCCGGGTGAGCCCAGGCCTGGGGAGCCCCCGGGGGGGGGTTGGGGGGGGGTGGCGAGCGTGGCAGCTCGGGGTGGGAGGAGGTTTTGGGGATCGCCGTGGCCGGGGGGGGGGTAGGGCGGGCCCTGCCACACCGGTGCTGCCAGTCTGTGCTGCCCGTGGGCCTTTCTCTAGCACCCACCCGTGGGAGGCACCTGCCTCACGCCCGAGTGCCCCTGTGAATCAAAAGGGGTTTGCAAAGGCAACACCCAAAACGGGCTCATCAAAACCGGGGGGGGAGGGGGGGGGGGCCGGGGGACTGGGGCCACGACCCCATGCCACGACCCGGGTACACGGAGCGCGCTGCAGGACTCACAGGGAGCCCACTGGGGATTTTTTTTTTTCCCCAGAAAAACCTAAGGAAAGCACGTTTACAGGCTTGCCGCTGTGGTACAACCTCGTGGAGGGCATCACAGTCACCCGTGGTCCCTTGGGAGGAGCAGGGACAGGGCAGGGCTCCCTGCGGCTCCCCGGGATGTGCCCATGGCACGTTCCTTTGCCTTCTCCCCCACTACTTAAAACCCCAAAAGCTGCAGGAGCACCCCCAGCTCCCCGCTCGGGGCCGGTTCCCGTCTCTGCTGCCGTGTGCCCCATCACGGAGCTGCAGCAGAGGCAGCTGCCTGGTGCCAAAGTGGCTCTTCCCGGGCAAACATGATCTTTTCCTGCACCGGGGCTGGTCCCACAACACAAAACACAGCACGGGGAGGGCAGCACAGGGCTGAGCCCCTCCAGTGCAGCCCTTCCCGGGGGGATTCCCTTTGCTCAAGCAGCACAAACTGCTGTAGGCTGGGAAACAGCAAACCCAGCACCTTTCAGATTAAATACCTTTTTTTTTTTTTTTTTTTTTTTTTCCCCTATAGCGTAGGTTGTCGTGCTTGGACACAGGCCTGCAGCATCAGGGCGCTGAGGCTGTTTCTCAGCGATACGAGCAGCCTCTGCTGCCCTTGAGCCAGTCCTTCGTGCAGGAAAGCCTTTGCCCTTTGTGCAGGTGCAGCTTTTTTTTTTTTATTTTTTTCTGGAAAGCCGCCGAGCGCTGCCGCCCTTCGCAGGACCGGTGCAGTCCTCAGAGACCTGCTGGCACCGCAGCCCTGCACCGCGGCTCGGAGCTGCGCGAGGATGACCTGGGTTGGGGGAAAGAGGGAGGAAAAGTCCTCTTTTTTTGCCTTGCAGCTGTGGGCTGGGAGCAGTGCAGGGCCAGTGACCCCATTTTTTTTGTTGTGTTGGTGCCTGGGACGTTCTTCTGAGAGATCAAACATTTTGGTGTGCGACCAAGTCCCAGATGCTGAAGGCTTGGTGGCCCAGCTGCTCCCATGGTGACAGCGAGGATGTCAAGGGAGAAAGCAAAAGGTCACTTCTCCGTGGCCAAAATTGGAAAGCAAAGTCCAGAGAAAGTTTCTGTATGTGTGACGAGCAGCAGAGCACCAGCCAGGGAGGGATTAGGGGAAAAAAAACATCGTATGGGTGACTTGGTGATGCCCGTGCAGCTGGGTGGCACCGCCTGAGCGCCCCCGGGTTCGGAGGGGGCACCCCCACCCAAAGCCCATCCAGGGGGCTTAAATGGCCTCATCCTGCAAAGGGGCTGGTGGCTGCCAGCACGGGCAGCGACCTGGGGCAGGCACAGAGCCCCAGCAACAAGCACAGATGGGTTTTCCAGTCCATTAATAGAGGTCTGTAAATGCTCAGCCTTATCGATCAATACAGTTTCTATTTCAAGGCTGTGAAACCACAGTCAGAAACAGAGCAAAGGACATTATTTAAACATAATAAAAGAGACAGAAGGAGCCAGCCAGCGAGCACCCGAGCTCAGCACTGACCTGTTGTCTTCCAGCTGCAGCAGTTAACCATTTGCAACCCCCTCGATTATATTTTAACATGCTCGAATCTTTCTCCGTGCCCCGGAAAGGCGGACAGCCAGCCACCAGCGCAGCCCTGCCCCGTGCCCGGCTCTGGCCGGGGCCACAGACACCACCAGATTGTGCAAACAGCGCTGAGAGCTGCTTCCCCAGCTCCTGGGAATGGCTCCTGTCAATATTTGCACGAGAGAGAGTCAGGCTCGGCGTGTCTTTGGGGGGATTGTGGAGCTTGGTTA